TAATTATTTGTGGTCTATAATTTATTAATATGTAGAAATGTATCATGAATATAATAAAATATATTAATTCGGCAACCCAACCCAAGAAAAATACCACAATCACTTCGCGTTGTTGCCAGATCTAATTTGACTGGACAGGAAACGCAGTAACAGCGTCTGGTCGACAGGGTTAAAGAGAGTAAAAAAAAAGCATTCAACAATATGTGTTACTTACACACAAAAGAAAAACGATCAAATTTAAAATTGTACGACATTAAAAAAACTTTATAGTAATAATAATAACTATGATAAAATTTATTTGTGGTTTGTTCGACCACAAGCGAAATACGAAATTTATGTCACTTTTACAAATAGGCTACAGTAGGAAACAATTATAATTTGTCAGCCGACTTCAACATAAATGAGAGGGACACTTTCTGATTTGTTTTTATATTTTACTTTGTAAACTGTCAATATCTGACCTTCAAATCTGGATGAGAATAATACTTGGAACAAGTCAATAAAAAAAAATCCTGGTTACACCATATATTCTTACACGTCTTACAGATTTTAATGCTTTTTTTCTTAATTGAAAATAAATTACTAATAATATTTGAATGAATGGTGATTCATAGATATTCATTCATACATATGTATATATATGAATAAAATATATTATATATATATTCAAATATAAAAATCACATAGAATATAAGTGTCTGTGGATTATATTTAAAATGTCCTTCATGATTTTTTACTTATTATTTTTAAGTCTTCTTTTATAAGACTATAGTCTTTAAAGAAGTCCAATATTAATTTAGAGGCAGTACCCCTAGCACCAAACCACAGTTCATAACTACCTAAGGTTTGACAAAAAATAATTGATTATTTTCACAAATATTCATTATATTAAAATTAAGGTTTTTGAAAAAATAGTTATGATTGTCCAAATAGATCATTTCTACATAGAGCTTGTGACCGAGTTTCGATAAATAATATAGACAAGGAGTAGTACGAAAGGTTTATTATATAATATATTACTATAGTTGCCCGGAAAAGAAAACCAAGCTGTGTTAAATTTTATGTGAGTAAGAATATAAATTTTTTCATACTAAACTTGGAAATATATTGGATAGAACATAAAAATAAAGGTTAAGGAGCATATTAAAAAATGTAACAATCTAGTTGGTATACCTAAATCAAGGCTTAGCCAGGCAAGGAATGAATTTTTTTTATGATAGCCTAGATAGGTACATTGGTAAGGTACCTAAAATGAAGGCTGAATTTAATGCAAAAACTGGAAAAGAGGAGTCAATTAAATCAGTGGCAGGGCGCTTTTCTTCACATGATAATACAATTGGTAACGGTATACTTTAACCACAATGTACAAATGTTTATAGAATGTTAATCAAGAGCACGTTTTTTTTAACAAAAAAAACCCACACACAATTGACCATGGAAAGTGCCAGGATCAAATACAGTTAACCAAATCGACCATATTATACAATCCTCAAGATATGCTTCAACTATAGTTGACGTCGGAATAATGAGAGCCTGTAATTGTAGTACAGACCACATTCAGTGTGTGGTAATTATATAAAGAATGTACAAAAATAAATATACAAAACGACAAGGGTGTAAAGAAAAAGAGTTGAACTAATGAAAGTTTGAAAAATGAAGAAGATCATACGAAGTTCTCAACACACCAATAAGCAACTTAAAAAGCATGTACACAAAAACCCAAATGGAAGATTGATAGAAGTTTCTTAAAAATGCAGTGGTAAATACAGCTCTTGAATCTGTAGGTACCACTAATCATACTATAAGCAAAGAATGGTATGGTGAAGAATGCGTTGTAAATTCTCAAAAAAAAACAGGCTAAAAATTACACTATAAGAAATCAAACAAAATTAAGGAGAGTACAGAAATACAGGTGTAAAGCAAAATTTGTATGTCGCAAGAAGAAAAAAGAAATGATGAAAGAGCACATAGAAAAAGTTATCTGCAATTTTAACTCTTAAAGTGAAAGAACTCGGATCATGTACATGTCTTTTTTAGCTTCCCCTCTTATCATAATTAATATAATTGTTTATTAAAGTGACTGTCAAAGACATAAATGTTTATTTAAAATAATCAAAATAAATTCCGATAAGAAACGGTTGTAAAAATGCAAAATATGTATACTCATGGCCAGAGATTGGTATCGTGAACCGGTCGCACTACACACATCAGACTTGGTCATTGAAAGAGGTAACTCAAAAAAAACTGAATACTGACCAAATCTTTAAAGTCACCAGAATTTTTTTCGGTCAAAGCAGAATGTTAAGTTTTTTTTGAGGAGAGGGGGAGAGAGTATTGTTAAAATAAAATACTTGAAATTTAATTATATTTTTAATTGCATCAAACTTTTTTAACAATTGGTGATAGTTTTTAATTTTTTTTTATAAAATTGTTTTCACGTAAAATCTATATTTAATTTACAAATTTTTCAATGTCTATTTTTAAACCAATTTTTTTAGATGTCCATACTTTGTTCATTGCAGAAAAGATTTGCTTAACTGTTGTGTTTTGTCTGGCATACAAAGGATATATTCAATTACTTTTTTAAAATTTGGTTACTCAATATTATTATATAATATCTGTCATCAAATTAAATTTCAGTTAAGAAATTTGTTCCATATTGTTTTTGAAGACATGCGCAAAGACCCTATTTACAATGACTTCCGTTTTTGGTTTTCGCATAATGCAACTAGTTTTTAAAGCATATATTAATTATTTTCAAAGCACAGTCAGTAGATCTAAAGCTATGATTTTCTTTGACAGTCTAATAAGTCTATACTTTTTCTTTATATTTTATTATTGGTGAGATAACAACTCGAGATGAAACCGTTATATCAAAACGGGAATACCACATTTTATAGTAATTTTATTGTTTTAAAATTCTAGCTGTGTGGGACTGTTGTGGATGTGTCAATTATTATGACTACAGTAAGAGATTTTCCTGTTTTTCGGTCAGTCTGGAAAACACCAGAATACATTCTCTAAAAGTGGGAATATCCTGCTGACAGCAGAGCATCTAGCAATGGCAATGATACTGGAAAATTATCTAGACTCTATCTCATATAAGAAAGGTGTGCGCAAAAATCAAAGCGCATTACTCCTGGATATGCAGGTACATAAGAGTTATAACTTTTGATTTCGGCGGACATTCTCATATGACATAGAGTATAAAGTACAACATTGACTTACACCTACTATTAGCTATTGACAGGCCTTTAAGCTCTTCAATATTGTCTTGCATTAATAGATAACTCTATTAAGTTGGCATTATTTAAGTCATCAAAGCAATCAAACTGTTGTCTTATTTAGTATGATTAGACATAGTGGTGGTGAAATTAGAAATGGCTGATGAGGTTGCACAAACTGCGGTGTTTGATACCATTTAATGCAATGCAGGAAACAAGCCTCTATACAATTTAGTCATTTCAAAAAACTGTTCAAAAAAATTCATCAGATTGTTTCTGCTTTAAAGTAGTTTTCATAAAAATGCCTTAATCCCTTTCAAATTTAATATGTTAAATTACTTGCACTTTTGCTAAAACATACTGTTTTTTATATTTTTTATTAAACAAGACTATTTCAACACAAGGTCAGAATCTAACATTGTGGCATAAAAACTTCACAAAATATTTAAATATTGGAACATATTTAAACCACATTTCAAAAGCAATAGTTGTTAATAGTAATCTAACTGGGACAAAAACATACTAAAAATGTATACACCATGTTTTTATCAAACAATCTAAAATTAAAATATCAGATATCTTTAAAACAATTTCCTCTTTTCATAGAATAAAGGTAATGAGGGGAAGTTTTTTTACTTTTTGTGCTCATTAAAAACATACTTCTATAAAATTAACCAATAGTATTTAAAATAATACTCGCAAGACGCAACTATAACAACATTATATTTCCAAAATCATAACTTTAAGTACAATAAAAGAACATAAAAAAATTACTTTTGGTACTAATTTGCAGATCTTTTTGGAAAATATAGGATGAGATTATAATTAACGCTTAAGGTAAATATCAAGTCCTTTGGGTTGAGTAATTAAGTTATTGCTGATGATTAAAAGTAGAGACAAGAAATATTTTTTATATAAAAAAATTTCTATAATTAACTTTTAAAACTAATATTTAATTTGAAGAATGAATATCTTACAAAATTCTTTAGAAAAACAAACATTTTAACTGTTTATACAGTTATCACAGATATTACAGAATATAAAAATTATAATGTTCGGTTTAAAATGTTTGACTATTTTAACTACTAAATAACTTGAATATGTACTACAAAATATGAAATAGATTCTCAGCAAAATATAAAATTTTCTGATTTAATAATTTTGACAACTTTTGCTTCTCATATTATTTACCATTTCATGAAAAAATAATTAGATACTATTTAAAAAACGGAATCCATGTAAACATTTATTAATTTTAAATGGTTTAATTTAAAATAAAATGTTTAAATTCTGTTGAATAGTTGTTAACACAATTTTTAGAATTGTAAACCAGCTGTTTGAAATGTGTCATGATAGCAGTATTGAGGTATGAAAGAAAATTTACAAGTTTGGTTGTGTCATACAAGGAGACAATACAGATCAATGTTTACGCTATGCTATTAATCAACATGAAAATATAAAAGAATAAAAACGGCAAAAATTAATAAAAAAATTTTGTTCTACCTCATTTTTATCATGTATGCCTCAATTACAATTGCATTGAAAGATGTCAAATTATTGAAATGTCATGTAGGACATACAGTAGCTCATCTAAATTTCTTTAATGTAAAGATATCCTATTGAAATCACTCAAACTAAATGGGACATGTTCAAATTGAGGACGTGGCCAGGGACGAGTTTAAGGAAGTGAATGAAATTTGTTCTTGGTCGTGGCGTGGCCGTTTATTCGAGCATTGATCAAAGGATTTAGGCTAATTATTGTTTTTGCAAGCTTACCTGTTGGTAGCATCTCAAGTAATCCTCGACAGCCTTCAGACAGGAATCGGTGAGCTTGACGAAAAACAAAGTTTTGTTTTTGCTCGTCCTCTGTTTGGTCATCAGGCCATTGTTGTGGTTCGACGACAAACTGTATTGCACACCAGCAGTCAAAGCAGCCATCGTCGTACGGACGCGATTTGACGTTGCACTACGTTTTAGACGGCTTTGTGGTATTTAAAAAAAAAATATATATTCCCTATTTCACGACAAACGAATCATAATGTTGGAGTACTGTTCACGGACATGTACGCACAGTAGGAAAGAGATTATGTGAGACCATTTCGTTATGTGCCAATGGTACAAGAAACCAGGTGCGCACGCGATCCGCCGTGATACGCACCTGGACCTCCCGCGCGCGCCAATGACGTCACTGCAATGCCGACGGTGCACGGCAACCTCTCCGTTAACGTACGGACGACGGCCAAGACAACGGCCGACACGACCGGCAAGGGTAAACTCTACCAGTGTCAGACGGCCGAATAAAGTCGTTTTTTCGCGATTACAATACCGACGACACTACTCCTACCCGACCACTATGTTACCGCGGACTACGGCAACAGTTTATTGGTATTTTTCGTTTATTTAAAAAACCCATCAATACTTAACATACAACCTAGAGTGTCTCAGAATTCTGTAAGCTAAGATCGAACACGGACCAAAAATAATTAAACGCCAATGGTCTATCTATGATTATTTTTAACAATATTTTTTCGATTTTTTTTTTATACTTTATATTCTTAACGTATTCACGGAATCGGAATGTGATAACGAACGTCGGCAATGCAAAACTCGCCCTTCTCCTCGCCGAGTTCCATCTCCAGTATGCAGGTCGGAAGGAAAACCTTGCGTATAATATGTCAGTGTGTTATCCTATCATAAAAAATCCAAACATGAACGTAACGTTTTTCCGTACACGACTGCGCATGCTACGTCAACACGGTGTGCGTATAACATGTTAACAAATTATTATTATTATTATTATTATACTATATATATATATATATATATATATATTGGAAACTATTTGGTCAAGGAGCCCGTAAATTTCTTTGAATCTTACGTATAATAATTTTAATTTATTGTCTACATAACGACCGCCGCCATAATCGCGGTAAACGTTCGGCATTATTATCTGTTGTTTACACTTTACAGGTATTATTATAAAGGCAAAAGTCATCATACAAATCAGTCCCCCTTCTTCTTAGATTCGAAAAATGGCTATTAAATGTATAATTTTTTTTTTTTTAAATGCGTTCCCATTTAATATATATACGTGGTATTAGGTATGTATGAATGGCAATCTATTAGTTGTTAAAATGTAACATAAAATCACTATAATCGGTGGCGCAAATAGCATTATTTTTGGAAAGGTGGACGGGGTTGATATTAAATTTTTAAAATATTAATACATAAATAACATTATTATTGTGTATTTAAAAAAGCCAGTACAGTGGAGACGGAGAGGTCACAGATCTAGAGGATTATAACCGAATGATAAAATCACTTAAATAAATTCTTCGATGCGAATTTGTAGATAGTAGGTTCAAACCAGTACAGTCCAAACTCCAAACCAAGCATAGTAAAGAAGTATTATACGTACGTAGTAGTAGTAGTAGTAGTAAGGGAGGTCCAGTGTTCACAGATAAAAATACAAATATCGATAAAAGCATTGTAACTAATTACAATTATGTGCTTAAAAAATAATTTTAGTATTAGGGTTGATTGTCTGCCTATAAAAATGTATTGCCATAATTACGCATGCATCGTAATTAACAATATAATTTCCATTACCTGTCGACTGTTGATTTGCTTATATATAACAACCTGTATATTTGCCTTCGATCAGTGATTTTTTTTTCGTTAATAAAAAAAAAGTTAACAGATTTTTTAGAAAATTATATGATATAGTATGATTCTAAATCTACCTTCGGTACAATTTCAGACCTAAATCCCTAAAACTTTGCTTGATAAAGTGAAATAAAGAAAAAAATATTATGCCTTCTAGGGGAACAGGTTTATGATGATGTTTTTGGTTTGTCAATGTTTATCGGCAGTACTATATTTAAAAATATTTCGACTCTTTTTAAAAAGGTTATTTTTGGCCTTTAAAGTACCTTTTAGATACGATTTCTCTATAGAGTTGCTACACGAAGAAATCGGTTCAGCGGTTTAAAATATATCGTCGGTCTAGACACAAAAATAAAAAAATAAAAACGCATCATCGTTAAAACAACACCTTTTCAACTCTGTATCGAACCTAAAACACCTATATAATACATTATAGTTATATTCCTCGAATGATTTATGTAATATTTTTATTCACAAAAAAAAATGTTTCACTATGTGATTAAATATACTACAATTTCACTGAACAAATTACGAATATAAAATATAGGAAGAAATGTGTTTAAAAAAAAATTGTATTATTTTTATTAAAATCTTACTTATTTTATTATTCATATGGCTGATGACCATGCAGCGTGTTAGGGTCAGAGCGGTCACGAAACGCCTCACGTGCTATCAATGTACGGTTTTGTGTAGCTAAATGGTAATTACTAGTTTATGTCAACATACCTATTTTGAATAGACATGTTTATCAATTATATACAGTAAAAACTATAAATCTCAAATAAGTGGCTCGGTAAAAACTATAAAACGTATAATTTATATACATATAAATTCAACATAATTTAAAAAATAAAAGATCAAACTTTTAATCACACACAAAAAAGATATTGTAAAATGTGTACACCATTACAAAAATATAATTGTACTGCGACCTGTCCTTCTAACTATAACTGTTAGGTTACCTATTGTTCTAGTTTTTGTAGAATAGACATATTTCATTTTACTGTTTATGAACGAGCCCCTAAAATTGAAAATTTAACTATATTATTAGCTATATCGCCTGTTAATTTATTGTAAGTAACATATTGACACGATTCTTTAAAATGTTTATTAAAATAATAATTGTACACCAAATTGTATTAAAGATCTGGGCGCATGTAATATTGATACCTACCTTAGTATATGATCTTTAGGTACAATTCAAAGAAATTAAGAGGGCGTCGCACCGGTGACCGTTGTTTTTTAAAGATGAAAGACTAAAAATTTGACATTTTCAAAACTATTGTATTGTCAATTTACTTAGTTTTTTAGCTCCAATGCGCTAGCTGTTTTATTTAGAAATGTATGGTAAAGACAGAAATTTCAAATGGCCTATCTTTATTTTTATTTTTTGGTTAACTTTCTTAGTATTCCTAAACTTTTGCGTAATTTTAAACACCCAAGTACCAACCTAGAGTAGAGCAAACAAAAAAACCCGACAAGATATAAAAGGCGATTTGTAGGTATTATATTACCAACAGTAAAAACGTTATAAAAATTACTTATTTTTTTAATTAGGAAAAACTGTTGATGAAAACACAATTAACTTATACAATTCTAATTCTTATCTAAAGCAAAAAAACCTAAGGGAGACCAAATTTGAACCAAATATTATATATTTAAACAAATATTCTTAATTCCAAGTTATTTGAATAATTATATAATTAGTTACCTAGTTAAATCGTATAATTATCTAACTCATAACTGTGAAATTTTAAAACTATAAAGAATATTATTAGAATAATGCCCAAGTCTGCCTATAAGTTATTTTAACAACGTGGTAGTGAGTTGACGTTCCATATTCAAGCTCACAGATAGGTATATTATATAGGTATTTATATTTAGTACCTAAGTCATAACTTACGTTCAATCGAGTTATTAGTTTATATTGGTATAACAACCCAAGTGCTATTTACCTAATAATATTATTGTTCTATTGTGTAATAGCTGATGCAATTCTATGTTAAACACACATTTTATTTTTTATACTTATTTGTATATTTAGAATAAACAATATAAACGCACAAACGCAATGTTCTTACAAATAATAGCACTAGTTGATAAGTTTAATAAAATAAATAAATAAAATATTTATTTTTAAATTTTGGATTAACTGTTGATTAAACTGACCTTTAATAAACACGTTCTACTGTAGTCTGTAGCAAAGTTTATAGATGTGTAAAGTATTATTAAAAAAACGATTGCGTCAATGACATATGAGAACGTGCTTTATTAATAACACTGATTAGTACGACGAACTCATCATATTTGTTTTATCGTTTTTCGACACTAGGTGCCGTAAAAATTGTTTTAAGAATTTTTTAAAATTATTCGTTTGATTAAAAAAACCCTTTGATTCGAAATTTTAGATTGCAGACAAATTAAATATCGATAAATGGTATAATAAAGGCAATAATGATTCTTAAAGTAATTATATTTTTTATAGAAGAATAGATACGATTAGGGTTGATCGTCTCTTTCCTAAAGGGATAGGTATAAGGAAAGATAATAAAAATAGTAACCTCGAAATTAATTTCGGTCAATGCGTAGTATTTACATTTTTTTTTTAAGTTTTCCTTAACAAAAACAGTTCGACTTCAGATTTTTGAGATAACTATATATTTTATGACATCTAGACCTACCATCAGTCAAATTGTATGACCCTATTTCTTTAAACTACGCTCAAAAAAAGGAAATAAAGAAAAAGTTTATATTAAAATCGATTTTTGGTTTGTCAACACTCAACGTACCTACATCCATCAATACTTTAGCTAAAGAATATCCTACACAAAATCCGAACTAATAAGACTATTCAAAAAAATTATAGTGAATCGTAATTTCAAGTTGAAAAATGTTTTGTTGGGTGTTTTATCGAGTTTGAAGGGGAAGGTGAAATTTTTTAAAATTATTGATCTAATTTCTAATATTGTTCATTTCCAGAATGAATTTGATCTATACTATAATTTATTCATGTAGTAACTTTGTAGATTTACAAAATGAATAAATTCGTTATTAATATGTTAAAAAAACACATAGTATATATTTACAATTATAGCAATTATGATATATGTTGATAATTATAAATATAATGTTTTTTTCTTTTTCGCATTGAAGCTTAAACTAAATGTAACTACTTCCAAAATAACAAGGCGATAAACTTGGGTAGTTATAACGGAAAACCTTAACAGTTGATGTTATTTTATTATTATTGTGATAGTGAATTAGGTCAGCATTACATTTGAAATAATGTTAAAAAATAAATCGCACTAGTGAAATATTAGTTTTCTCTTGAATTTATAAATTTTAGAGGTTTATAATGTGATCAATTCAAAACACCGCATTATATTAAAAATCATAAATAAACTTATATTAATGTATTTTTTATATAAAATTGCACATACATAATTTTATAAAAAAAAAAATAATAATAATAATTAACAACTTTTTTACAACCAACTAATTTAAATTTGTAATAGTTTTTATTGAGCCAATACATTTTATACTGTTAACATATCTTTGGCAAATACATTCATTGTGTACCTAGGACCCTATACCTAATTAACATAATAAGAAATAAAAATGTTTTAATACAATTTGTTTTTTAATAAAATTAATAGAAGTAATAAATTTGAATAATTTGTGTTTTTTTAAGATTATACTCATTAGTCATCGCCTTCTATTTGATTGGCCAATCTGTATTCTCTGTTATCCCTTGTATTGTTTTGACTCGTCCAAAATCGATATTTGCAAAATATGAGCAGCAAAAATACATTACAAATTAATAACACAGTTGCTATAGTATGCCATGTCCGGTCGTCCAATAGTCTTTTTATGTTCTTCGGATAGCAATATGTTTGTCCCATAGTGTGAGTTAACTCTGCGTCCCCCCAGCATTTTGTACACTGGTAATCATTTGGTCCAATGCATTGATAACATGTATAATGACAGTCATTACACAGGTCGTGTCTTTCTTTGTAGGTTCTCAGCGGACAGAGAATAGAACATTTACCGTTGTACAAGTGATATCCTTTTGAACATTCTGCGAATTAAAATTAAAAAATAAATTCAATAACAAAATATGTGTATAGATATAATTTTTTTTTATGACAATATTTGTGATTAGTTTAATCATTGCGCAAATAAAAGCAAAGCTGTGTGGTACACTCACCGCAAGCGCCCAACTGATGTTAGAATGCAGCTCATTTCTGTCGGCTAAACTCGTTTCAAATTTCAATACTGTGTGATTATTAATTAGTCAACAAAACAAGCACACAATATACTTTTAAATGAACAAAAACGGTTAGTTATTTCTGGTGTTCAAATTCGAACTTAACCAAACGAAGCAACAGAAAATGAATAATTTCAATATATAATAAAAGGACTTTCACCTTAAAGACCATTATGTTTAATGTTTATACATTCAGTTTAATAAAATTTATTGTTGAAAATTCAGAACAGTACACAATCACCACATAAAAAAAAAAAATGAAATATAATTGTTTTTTTTTACAACACAAACACATTATATTATTATTGAGCATAATATACTTTGGTTTTGATATTATAAAATATTTAAATAAACATTAACATAAAAAGTATATATTCGTTTGGTTATTATTAATACTGTTATGGCAATATTAGACCAGATATATTTTTTAATGGGTTTGTCAGCTACCGATTTAATAATATGTATTATATAATTATACAATGTGATAAATGTATGCAGTGGTGTATTTGCAGTGTGTAGTCAATCCACCAATACACAAGACTTTTGTGACAAGGACATGCGTACATTGAAAAGTGGCAGACCTACAACTAAGTTACTGATTTTTATAAAAAAAAATGTATGTATCAATAAATATTTAAACAAATCTACTACCATACTGACTTGAGAAAAATAATTAAAATATAATATTAACATAAATTTCAATTTTAGGGAACACTTAAAAACAAATAAATTATACATTTATAATAAAGTTAAGCATAAAATTGTATATAAAAATTATTATTATCATGTATATTAACAGGTCTTTAAGTCCCAACGGTGCCATCATGAGCTGGTTATATAAACTATGTAAATACAAATATTCTACACTTCAATAATAGTGTACGGCAGTATAGTATTTTACAAGTCGAGTAACTGATATCACCCAAACATAAAATTATTAATATATTATATTATTTAGAATACATTGAAGAAAATATTTAAGTATATATATATATATATATATAACATTTTATTGCAATACCACTTTAATTTGTTTAATTCAAAGCTAATAGTTTTACAAATGAAACTACTTATTTATGAAATAATAATAAATAACTATAATCATACAAATATCAATAAGTAAAATGTAATTAAATTAATTGTTCGTTTGCATAAAAATTTAAACACCATGATGTTTTGTTTGCATCAATTCAAGGTGAGAACAAATATAGTTATTTATTTTAAGTAGTAGTTAAATTATTTGACATAAAAAATAGATAGAAATTGTTTTAATTTAATAATATTTAATTGTTAATGACTTTGTTTATTAGTAATACTAAATTCTTTAAGACCATACTTATATTTTTACAATAAATATATAAATTTATTTAATAAGTAGTTTTAATTGAGTAACTATATTAATAAGTAGAGAAAAATTAAAAAGAAAAAAAACATTACAATACATTCACACAAAGACAGAAAATATAATACATTTTAGACAAATATTGAATGAAAAAAAAAAAAATGTACATAATATTAATAATGTAGTATGGGTTTTGAGTAGTTTATAAAAATGTAAGATCTAAAGTACTTTTTATTATATGATTTTGTATATAATTCTAGACCACTATAATCTAAGTTTAAGGAAGATGCCAATATATAAATATAAATATTGATAAACACCGTTATGCAACCACGCCTAGTGAGTTTTACTTTGTTAATGTGTTAATAGAAATAGAAATAATTATGAATAGAAAAGTATATAAGATAGTTAGTCAACAAAAATGTAAGTATTTATTCAAATAATGTTCTTCAATTATTATCTATGTGTTATCACAGGTTACGGTAGGGTGAAATTAGGAACGTAAATAATATTAAGGAATAAATTAGAAAACAAGTACATGAGTCATAGGTACATGAAACAATAAAGTATTTAATAATTATATGTTAGGTGTTCATATATTAGAATTTAAAGGTAACACGAAGCAGTATTGTAGTTGTAGAAGTATCACAGTGTATACCTAACGACAATGCTACTGATTGGAAAGCAATTTATTTAACTTTTAATAGTAACAAAAGCAGGTAAAAGTTTATTGGAAGCATTGGCACACCATTTTTTTCTTAACTGATATTATCAAATATATAAATAATGACTAAAAGTTAATTTAATAAAAAGAATAATTTTTTGTTAACGACTTCAAAAAATAATAATTTGACTAATATTTACAAAAGTTTTTATAACGTTTAACACAGTTCATTTTTTTTTCTCATTTACGCAAGTAATTTACCATTGCATATTATTAAAAAAATTGTAACTATACTGTATAGAGTAGGGAGTAACACATTCTCTTGTTGAACGGAGTATAATACAATGGCTTTAATATGAAAAACGTATTATTTCATTAAAATACTGTTAAAAAGCGTTTTTGTGGTGTTATTGATAAAAATTGATTTTATTGTTGTGTACTTATAAGTATAGATTGGATGTTCATAAGCCTATATACTTTATGATAGATGATAGATGGCTTTATTATATAATAGAGTACTCAAAACCTTAACAAGTGTTATGACTTTAACAAAATACGTTAAAAAATAAACGTGTGTAAAATATTAAAGTTAAAACTTGTAATAAATAAAAAGGATTAAAGCAATTTATATAGTATGGCACTTTTGAGGAAGACAGTTTACTTATTGAGTTATTATGACGACCCTGTTAGAATATTTAAACCAGGGAATAAAAATTTCAAAAAGAAGAATAACCAACCTAAGCATGCAGAAGTAGTCACACGGCATTCTCCAGATTTGAAGTTGTCTTGTGTTTTATTGAGAGGCAAATTGCTCGGGTCTGGTGGTAGAATTGTTCCATAAAAAACCATTTCCCAGTCGGTCATAGAAGCTAAAACAAAATAGTAATAAATAAAAAAAAAAATAATATAAAATGTATGTATTACCTTTACATTTTTAATACACAACAGTTTTTTTAATTATAGTAAAATATTAGAAGCCAGGAGAAAAATATTATTACGGTATCATGGTATTAAATAAGCGATTAATAAGATGACTAGAAATTATTAGTTAATTTCTTATCGTTAATAATGGAGAAGTTGCATAAAAATAATATATATTCTTTACAATTTTTAATCGGTAGGCAATATTGAAAAACTCTATAGACACCCATAGCCTTTGTAACTGTGGATATATTTAAAAATAAAAAATAATAATACAAATAAAAATGCCTATGCAAACCACATAAAAACTTTTTTAACGAATAAAATTTTTAAAATTTTTATGTAAAAAAAAAAAAAATAATAATTTTTTAAATTCTGATGCTAGTTTATGCTACAAGGCATTTGCAAGGCTACAATATAAAGATGTCCGAAAATGTATAGCAAAATGACCAACAAAGCGTTACAATTTTTTCAAGCAGCCAAATCATTTTTAGTTAATAAAATGCACAAAATGTATTTTCATTTTTCATTGATAAAAAATATTTATACATTTTATATGCAACTTCCTTAATGACTAATTGTAATTAGATTAAATAATGCAAACATTCAAACATACTTTAACTAATTTATGCTTAGAATGAGTGACGTAGTTGTAGTCGTATACGCTGTGTATTTATATCATGCTTTTGTATGTAGGCATGTACTCATAACAGAAAATCGTGTATTCTATCTATAGGTATACAAATGTTGTTACAAGTAAATGCTATTACATAACAAAATATTGGAAGAACATTACCTCAGCGTATACCCTTATAACTACACCGCTACTTAGAATAATGTTGTGACACAAAAAAAAAACTTCCTATGTGCTAAGGAGACACAAAAAAAATTTAAAAAATGAGAGGTGATTAATTTTATTTTTCATTTATTCTACATTTAAGACAGCACATAGAAGATTTTATCATATAATAGCCAATTTTTTTCTGAACACAAGAGAACTAAAATCTCTAAAATATGTATATATGGTATATAGGATATCTTTTCCTCTACATTGATGATAATATGCAAGCAAATGATAACAAAAGCTCAACAAAACAAGTGGTACAGTGGGTATAAAATCTAATTATTATTACACAATTTTTAGGAATTGGATAATAAATTAAAAATACAAAAACAAATATCTTAAGTGGATAGTAGATACAAAACTACTAAATCAGCATGCAAAACAATCGAGCACTATCGATGCAGACTCCTTGCCTGTGGTCGTAGGTGATATGTTTTGTTCAGGTGACAATTTTTTTGCCGACCTACCGTCCACATTTTGTAAACTGTAGAGTCTATGGCTGCTTGGATATGTTTGCACAATGTCTGTGAGTGTTGGCGATAATTTAGACGAATTTTGAATAGGAAATAGGACAAAATGAACATTGGGTTTATTGTTAGATACACCTTGTTTAACTAAAGTATTGACACTGATTGGAGTAGTAGACTGTTTTGTCAGTTTACTCTTTTTTGAATTTTTAGAATTCCTTCTAAGGTTTGGTTTAGATAGCGGTTCAATAGGATAGATGGATGGAATTAGAGTCCGTGGAGCATATTTAGTACCATATAATATCAAACACCATTCGTGTAAAGATGATCGACCTAAAGCATTATAATTTGTTAGTAATGTTAAAAAAAAGTGTTAATTTATTAAAAGTAAAACACAAAGTATTTGTATAACACTATGTTAACATAAAAATTAGTTTTCCTTTGCCCTAAGCGCACTGTGTTAATGTTAATAAACCCAAATAACAATATTACCTAATAGTTTGCCTTCATTGTGAACAGTCAACTGCCACACTCCAAATGGACGTTCTCCCCACATGTGCACAGTCATAAATGGCCAAACGTGGAAGCCAGCATGAGAATTATCGTGAGCTCGAGGGGCGAGCAGTGTTGATCTTGTACCACTGGGAGATGTTAAATCGATTTTAATATCACCTCGGCGATTAGCAGACAGTGTAATTCTTGCTTGTACATGTTCTAAAAAGTTAACACTATTGCACTCTTTCACTAAAAGTTGTATAGTAACTGAGCTACGAGCGGGTACTGGTCTATAATTAAACAAGAACATAACTTAATAATTTTGATAACTATTATTATTATTATTAAACATACTTATCGAAAACTTGGGCAGTTACATTGCAAACGTGTTGAGCTGGGACAGTTTTCCACCGACGTGCTAATCTTACCATTTCAGTTGCGTCCATAAGACCATACCCAAAAGAATGACTAACTGAAAGCATAAAACATTAGTAACTCGAATACAAAATACAAAAACTAATTTATTTGTTAACTTAACTCTTGAAGTTGTGAATAGTAAATAATCGTTCAGTGGGAAAATTGTAAGGGTATTTGCTATGTGTTCTCACCTCCCACTTTTTTTATGTATGTGTGTAATTATAACGAAAACCATGAACCAGCGGATACAGTACACAATGTATACACCCTCACAACTACACCACTGTAAAGGTCTCTTGCCTAAATAATTATGGATAATAATTACCTCGGCGGCCAACTCCATTAAGAACCCAATCTGTAGACAGCAAATGTGTAGGCTTTGACGTAGCTACAACAATGTGTTGCATATCTCGCCATGTCAATTTATTATTAGCTTCTAAGACCAAAGCAACTATTCCTGCAGCTAAGGGAGCCGACGCAGATGTACCAGTATGATTACTCGTACAATCATGATGGAGATCTGTCGTGATAATCTATAAGTTCATACAAACACACAAAATGTCTGTTATATAGAATGTTTTTTTTTTTTTTTTACAAAATTTCAACTTACTTGATTTTCGAAATTGTTTCCACTGCTATACGTTGTAGCCAAAGTCGAACTACAAGCTTCTGAATACCACGGAACATGACCACTTTGTGTTGCGCTACTGATACTTAACGTCCATATAGCATTTGTGTAGCCATCGCAATTGCAATTGTCATGTTCTCGGCCACCATTTCCAGAAGCCCAAACGAAAATTGATCCTCTACCATCTCGACCTTTTGATATGCCTTCTATGAAAGCGCGAGTAGCTAATTCACCAGGGCCATCCACAGTTTTTCCGTCATCATCGGGACCCCACGAAGCACTGTACACATGGATGTGTTGGGGATTCAAGCTAAGCGAACGAGCTTCAATGGCATCTGTTACATCTCCGTCCAACATTCGTACACCACCAATACTAGCCCCAAAAGCTATACCAATAGAGCATAAAGAATTATTGGCCACTGCAGCCACTTCCCCTGCACATCTAGTTCCGTGACGATTTGTGTCCATTTGATCGTATCTGGGCATCGGGTCATCGTCTCTACCATTCATATCGTAGCTTGCTTGAGGATCCTATAAAATAAAAAAAAATGATATGATAAAAGTTGTAATATGTAATAAACTGTATCAGTAAAGTAAAATTATAACTGCTTTTTGAAATTTTTCTGATATTCAAATTGATTTAACCAATTACCTCCAGATACATACTTTTAGTTTTAATTAATGAACTACTTACATAGTTTTTCATAAGGTCTGGATGGTCTTTTTCTAAGCCATCATCCAATATTGTTACAACTATACCTTTGCCAGTTATCCCTTCTTCCCAAGCACCTTGAACATTCATATCAGCACCTCCGCCACGATTCTAAAATATAAATAACATTGAAAACAATAAAAATTTAATTAAACGGCCTATCACTGCCTTCTCCACTGAGGTGGTTTTATTTTAATAATTTGTAAATTCTGGGATGGGTCATCAGTTGGTCGTTGACAGCTCCTTTACACGGGACAATTACTTGTCCACAAAGTAAACAAAGCCTCGCTTGTGAACGAGTTCAGTTATAAAAAGCTCTTGATATACGTAAATAAGAAGAGTAATAATTATAATTTGTTTACGAGGACTTAAGACATTAGATGTATTGCAATTATACTTTACCTATGCACTTTATTAATGTAAATAAATTACAAAAAACATATTCTTACCCCAGAGCAAAAGTGTATTAATTCACTAAATGTAAATTTTATAGAAGAAAAATAAAATGATTTATTAATGATTATAAATTATTAGTAATTATTTAATTTATGAACTTAGATAGACTCTCCAAACATTGTATAAGGTAGATCAGGGAATAAAGTGCAAAATTTAAATCTAGGTGAACCAAAAAACCAGGAAATTTTGGACTAAATACAATACTGCTGTACATGGATATTCTTATAAAAAAAGAAGTTAAATATCTTGAATTAAAATAATGTACTTACCAAGTACCACATAGTAGGCCATTTAGGATCATTAAATCCAGTTTTAATTGAAAATTTTTTTGAACTTCGGCTATTTTTAGTAAATCCTAATAAATCTCTTTTTGATCTAGTTAATATTTTTTGTTGTTCAGCCCATTTCACCTAAAATAAAAATATAAATTAAGACTAATCACTTTTAACAAAACGTGACCACACATAAAACTACATTCCTTTTTCGATAGTAAATGTAAAAAATAAAAGATAAGTACGTTGATTATCTTATAAACAAATAATTTTACAACTAGTATATCAGATGAACATTTTATGTTTCTCTATATAAACGTTTTTTTCATCAATTTTTTTTTATTTGTAGAAAAAAACTAAATACTCCTTAGTAAGCAAAAAGTAAAAAAAAAACATAATAATAATGAATAACAATAACATTTATTTCATATTTTTAACCCTTGCAGCAGTTTCAATCAGTCAGGTAATACAATTATTTTATAGTTTTTACTTTTAATAAGATCTACTAATTATTATTTTTAATGGACTTTCTATTTAATTTGCTCATCAAAACAATTATAATATCATTGAAAAACTTGTAAAGGCTTAGAATTAGTAGAATTTTTTTATAATTGGATTATTTTCATTCTGTTAAATAAATAACATATGTGAACTTCCAGTTAAGGTACCAGTACAATTACTTGTAGGAAATAAGAACACTATACGCTTCTTCTTAAGAGGTTTTTTCATGGAAAAACAAACATTATAATTCTGCTAAAAAACTTATATATTATTCAATTATCATAAATACATGATGTTGATATCACAAAGATCATGGCTTGTCTTTTCGAAGAGTTGAACCAGTGTTTAAAAATTTATCTAGGTCAGGCTTTTAAAATCGGCAGAAATCTAATTTCTGTAAGTTGCGTAGTTTTTTCTTAATAGCCTTTCAAAATCACACTGTTTGATTTGCCGTACCTTGTAATTTAGTCAACTCTTTAGTTACTTATTGGTTTAGACTAAATTTAAAAAAAATATTTAAGCGACTGAAACTCGAATGATATATCTACACCTCAATACTATCTTAATAATTGTACAAAATAGTTTTAGCTCTAAATTTAAGTTTTTTTTTTAATTGACTATACTGATTATCTGAAAAAGTAGCTGTATTGTATAGTATTGGAGTACAAGTATTTTAGTAAGTGTATTTGGTACTTGTTGAGTATTTGGAAATACTTATTTTAAAATATATTTTATTTTTTATTTACTTATTAAAACCTACAGGGGGAATGAGTACAGTAAATTACTTACATAATAAGGTATTTTACATAGAACAGAAGTAATAAACAGTAGAAATAAACCCACATTTTTTTTAAGTCTATACTTATTTTAATAGAGAAATAGTTAAAAAGTTACAGTCTACTTAAAGCCTAATGGCTAAAATTATAAAACATGGAACATGCTTTAGCCTGCTGACTCCTGATTAGTGGTTATTTCTGATCTATATTTTCCTTGCGATTTATGATGATAGTATAGTCTTAATTATATGCTATGGTCAAAAGTTTGCATGACGACGATGACAATTTGTTATTATTTTAATGGCATCTTATATGTTATTATACATTTAAAGTAGGCGCGCTACTTTAATATTGTAATTTAGTGTCGTTTTCGGGCTGAGGGTCAAGGCTAAAGCATGTTCCATGCTAAAATAAAGTTGCATATTATGATTATTGTCATGATGAGTTTTAATATTGTAAGTAATTTTTTTAATCAGAATTTGGAAAAATATAAAATTATAGTTAAAGCAAATGTTTTCTTAACATAATAACACAATAATAATGTTAAAGAATTATTATCAAAAAGTTTTAATCGTGACCATTTATGAAATACAAAATAATTTTAAATTAAAATTGTTGATATTATTTATTTCTATTAAATATTTAATTTTAATTATGATCTTAATTAACAATTATGTATTTTAAATACTATTAAAAATCTGTACCTATAATTGTAAATGGATACTTTAAAAAGTATTTTTTATAATACTGTGTGGTGTTCTTTTAAATAATATTAATTTTAAATATTGTACTTATTTTTAATAAGTTTTAGTGTTTGTTTTTAGTCTGTTGAAGCTGAATCTAGTCCTGAACAATTGACTCAAAATGATCTTCAACTACTTACCCAATTATTTGGTGAATATTTAACATCAATATTAAGTTATTACGCTCAAGCAAATCTGCAAAATTCAGTTGTGTCTAATCAAAATGCAAACCATCACAATTATCTACACCCCACTAGTTATCCTACAAGACCAGATAATACAGAACAAATAATCAGCACTCAACTTTCGGTAAATAATGCACAAAAAAATAATATTTCATCCTCAGCGAGTCCACAGAAAAACATGTTGTTGTTACCCAGGACGCCGTGTATAAAATCAATCAAACCATTGAAATCAAAATTGAGGCCTACGTTGAAATCCAACAAATGTATTTAAACAACTAACTATTTAACTAATTATAATCTATTGCTGTTGAAGCATCATATTTTAGTTTATAATATACATAACACATACCTACTACAATTAGGTAAACAGTTTAAAACAATATAAGGGTTTAGCTTAATATTTATTTAAATTATTATCTTTGTCATGGGACTTGTACATTAATATTTATACTTATTAAATATTTTATTTAAATCAACTTACGTTTTGTTCGGAAGTAAGTCTTTTGTGGTGTTCATGGCCTGGGCTAGCTGATCGCTTTGATACATGGCTGTGTTCTAAATGATAATAATCTGGAAATATCTGGGGAAAAAAAGAATAAAAAAGAGATTAAACTAAAATTTGTTTGTATAATTCTTCTATTTTTATTTTAACGTGGTACCTAATGGATACAAATATCAAGAAAGTTTGTTATTAATGTCAACATTAATTCCATGCTCTTTACGAATACTAATAAGTGTCATTAGTCTTATGAAAAGTAGTATATTTGCATTTGTGGACTTCAGTATATCAATATGTATATCCAACATATTTTTGAATTTTAACTTTAAACTGCAAACTATTCAAATGTTTGTTTAAAGTATTTATAACAGCAATTTCCTAATTTTTTATTATATTGAATACAATAGCATGTTATTAGTCTTTAAAATCTAATCCTTTCCATTTTAATTGTTCACTAATACTTTTACTCAGGCATTTTCTAAAAAAACACATTTATTTATCTCTTCCTGTAATCATTTTTCCTTCATGTCCATTGTCTCCCCACAATATTCCCTTAAACATGTAATAATATACAAACCTAAGATATTTTTAGTAAACACCCATACAAACTCTGAATTGATTACAGCTGTTATAAATACTTAGATTTAATAATATAAATGTTTGAAAAAATAATATGACAAAAGAAAATTGTACTAAATAAAATATTTAAAAACATGGAAATTATTTAAATAGTTTTTTTTTTTAAATTGCAATTGTAGGTGCAAGAACCGGCTATCTTCACTTTTTGTCAAAAATTGTTTTTTCGTAGACAAATGTTCATGGAAATATTATTTAAATTTGCGTGCATCAAACAGTAAAATCGGACTATAACCAACAAGGATATTACAAAACACATTCCCCCCCGCCAATAGTGGTTAATGGGACAATGTACTTTCTTTTGGCCGTCCTGAACAATTTCAAAATATGGAGATAGCCGGAGATAAAAGGACTTATTGGTGTTTATTTAAATAAAATTAAATAAACAATTCTTATTATTAACTATAATAATATTTCTTTTTGGATAATATGTATTTTCACGAGGACAAATATAATTTAAAGAGCAACAGTAATAATTACAAACTAAACAATACAACTATTAATATTATTTAATATAATTATTTAAGTATGACCTCAATTTACTCAGATCAAGTGGCATGTGAACTGGTTATCTTTTGATAAATTCTATCCAAATACAATATTTGTATACATCCAAATATACTAAATATAGGCATGTATTATATATATATTTTTTTTTACACAAAACCTTTTATTATGTTATCGTAATAGTTTTTATAATTAGATTAAATATAATGGCAATGAATCATACTTGTATTAGATAAAAGTCATTATTTTTTATAGAAAGATAATAGGAATTCAAAATCATTATTGTGCTGTTAAAACTTAACCATATTTCATAAGTTAAAAGATTAATACAATTATTAAAACATTAAATTTATTATTAAAAAAACAATAATAATAATCAAATTGTTAAAATTATTAAATAATAATTAAATAAAAATAAATAATAAAACAGTATGTGTGTGTGATAGTGTTTGTAATTAAAATATTAAGAGTACAATCAATTGTAATACTAATATGATAACAATAATTAGTCGAGTTTATGGCTAAGTTCATTCAAATTCGAATTATAAAAATTGTATTATCTACCTTATATTAGAATAGTAGCCTTTAAGAAATATAACTTGTTTTACAAGTAGTAATAAACTATTAAAAAACCCTTAACCACAATAAATAATACACTTTTATTTATACATTAGGTGTATTATTTAAGGGGTTTTAAATATTTTATTCTTTTCTATAAAAGTGTGTCTAGATTGTTTTATAAGATTCTGACACGAATATGACGTTATGGGTAAATCAAAAACCAGTACAGTGGGGTCGGGGCATAGTGGGTATGAAACATATTAGGGATGAGGTCAGAGGTTTACAGAAATTATTATAACTGAATGTGATAAAATCATTGTTAATAATGTCCTTAAAATTGTATTATAAAGTGAATACTATTAGGGTTGGTAGTGTTGTCTATGATAATTTGTTGCCGTTGTTACCCATGTATCATAATTAATTATTTATATTTTTCAGAAACCTATTCACTTCTATTTATTTGATTCAATTAAATCTGATAAATAAAAATTTGCTATGATGAAAGTGTAATTTCCCTTCTTTCTTTAGTTTTTCCTCTATAAAAAAAAAAGTTTGACTACAAGTATTTGTATCTAACTCAAAATTCTCACTGAGACAGCGCGAGTACAAGAGTGAAGTTGAGTGCACTCACCTCGTCTCCATGTCTCACCTTGCGGTCGCTTCAATCTGTGTTGGTTTTTTTGGCACAAGTTGAAAGACACGAGACGAGGTGAGAGTACAGAACTAGCATGAGAAAATTGTACATTTACAGCCCCACATAAGACTTATCTTCAGGCATTATATCCTGTTTGCTAAAAAATGTTTCTAATCTCTCTAGGTTAGGAGAACAAAGGGTCTATGGTATTTTGGTTTGTTAATGTTTATTGGTATTACTATGTCTAAAGAATATTCCATAAATTTTGAAACTAATTTGACTATTTTTTAATAAGTTATAAAGCGCCGTAATTTTAAGTTGAAAAGTAATTTTAAGTACACAATTAGTTTGGGCGTTTTCTCGGATTTGAAAGGGAAGGGGTTAACTTTTTAAATCTTTGGTACAATAAAGTACCTTTCACATACAATTTCTAAACGTACAAACAAAAAAAAAATAAAAACAATATTGTCTCAGCTCTGCATTGAAGCCAAAAAGAAACATTGATTATATAAAAAAACTAACCTCTCCGAGCAAAGCAAATCCATGTCTTTCCGATATTCTTTTGGCTACTTCTAATCCACCTTCTATGTGAGCTGCCCATTGGGACGAGTAATCTTGACCAGCGGATTGTTGTAGCGTAACTAAAGTCCAAAGTAGTAAAGATACCGTGCAGGCAGCCATGACGCTGGCCTAACCCCGGCCTGGTACGGCAAGGCTTAATGTTCAACATTGGTCACATGACTGAGGAAATTGATAACATTCAAATTTGGTCTCGAATCTTTCATATTTGTTATAGCCTCTCGCACGGAGCACTGACAAAAAAAAAACATAGTAAATTCAGTTTCTTTAATAGTCGGTGTTATGGAAGGCAGAATATAAAAACGAGAATAAGGCACATTTTTAATAACTTTTTCGAAATGACATTAATTGAACGGCACATGGACTTAGAGACAGAAGGTAGTGGGTACTCACAGATCAAGTTGAAGTTCTTTTTATTAAAATTCAAGTAGGAATCCTATTGAACGCCAATACTATAATATAAATGTGTGCTGACATAGCGAGCACCAGCTGCACAGCGTACCACTATCACTGCGGACGATGTACATTTGTGATTTGAACAGTATAATATTTTACGGCGTGAACTCGAGTTGTTTTGTCATCAGTGTAACAAGTAACAACAATATCCGCTTGACGGAGCGAGTCGAATTTGGGTTTTGAGGTTTGCTAGTACGAGAACCGAACCTGCTGCTGCTAGTGGTGGTGGCCACTTAGGTTATTACTAATTACTATGTGTAATATATATATATATATATATTACAAATATTATATCACGTACAGCGAATCACGACAAGAGTACGCACACCGCACGGTTGTCAGTACTACACTACAGTCTACAACCTTCAGACTTCGGTACGTTCACGGTCTCCAGGTCAGGCGACGCTATCTGTGTGCATTTGCGCACGAAAGCCAATCCGCTGATAAGACAGGAGAATGCGATGATGACCATCGTTATCTGTAGGACCCTCATTTCGTGGAAGAAGAACGAAAACATTTTTGAATATTCTGCGAATTGCGGTTATATATACTATGTATATATCACGATGTAGAGAAGATATTATCTTCTCTCACAGATATATATAATAAACTAGATTGGTAACTGTATATACCACCAATAGAGAAGATCGAAGCAGCCACTTTCCGCCATCCTGGTGGGAATTAGAACCTCATCACGCGAGAATAATATATGTTTATAACAATCACATATATATATATATATATATATTATTGATATAATAATATATATATTATATGCATTGATAACACACATAAATCCCACCAGCATGGCGGACCGTCGGCTTCAATTGTTATCGCTAGTTAGCAATCTAGTTTATTATACATATCTGTGATGATATTAAGGTAGGCAACAGTTAGCGGACGAGCTGCAGCTGATGGCTGATGGGAGTATTCTTCCAACAAATGATAACACGTGATAATATAAAATAGCCACAGAATAGATGAAAATTTATCTAATCTGAGCCCTGAGGTATATTTATCTTTCAAATTGTATTGTTACTTGTCAGTATTCCGCTAAGAGCTAGGGTTAAAAACAATAAACTTATATAATAACACTCAATATTAAATTTTATATAAAATTGTTTTAAATAACTGATTTGTGTATTAATGACATATATTATTCTAATACTGATAATTTCCAATTTTTGTCGGCTACTATTTTCAAAGGACATAGAAGTATTGCATCTAAAAACAAAAGTTATTATTTAGTAGATTAAGACTTAAAGATATGGTGATAAATCTTGTACTTTTACCTTCATAAACTTGTTCAGTTTCATTCTAAAAAAAAAAAAAAATACTCTGTACAAATTTTTGTTAAAAAATTATTATCAAAGTATAACAACAAATAGTCGTGGCTATTATTATTATTAGTATTAAAATTAAAATAAGAGCTGTAAGATAATTCAATTATAATGTTTTTTTTATAGTTCAATTAGGTTTCAAGTACTTATTTATAGTTTTAGTTTTTTAAAGTATAGTTGGGTTAAACAAAATGTTTGTTTGAAAAGTCTGGTATTGAAAATGTAAAAAGTTATTTTATTTGAATTGGCAGTTAAAACTGAGATTAAACTCCAAGCGGTCGTGTTTTAAAAAAATCTTGTCGGTGGTGTTTACACCGCATACTTTAGTTCTTGGAGGTTAAATCTACATAAAAAAGTATACAAATAATTTACTTACAAATATTGGCCATATTATAGACTTCTTGTCAAGTACACAAGTCAAAAATGAATCTAAAGTTATTTGAAGCGAGTGACTAATACTATATTCATTTAATTTTAACAGCAGAAAGCAAACATTTTTAACTTCATCTAAAAATGGAAAAAATTAAAATTAAAATACTACAATTCAATTAATAGTTAAAATAAAACACATTTCTCAGTGCAATAAAATATTACCTTTATATTTTTCAGTTTTTTCAATTATTTGTTTTAACGTCAAGACTAGAGTTGGTTCTTCCCTAAAATTACCTATCTTTAAATTCCACATTTTACGTTGTTGTTTCTTCGCACTTCTACAGCTAGTTCGTGTGCTACATTACAAAACATTAAATTAAACCACAATACATTTTTTTTATAATTAATATAAATAATAAAAAAAAATTACCTAGATGTGCGATACGAAGATACACTACTTATCTCTGAATTTGTGTCATTTAAATTATCTACAACAAAATATTTTTAGTTAAAACTGTTAAAAATTGGTTGTTTGAAAATATATTACCGTAGTCTGATGGTTCAATGGATTTTTCTTTACGAACTTCCACTAAACGCTTGATATGTGTGTTGAAATTTTCATGTTGTAATATTATATCATTAATTAAATTCAGTGCAGTCGTAACACATGCCGATTTAATTTGGTTTTCTAAAAATAATATTAATCAATTTTATTTTCTATTAACGCTAATTCACAAACAAAAACTCAGAAAATAACAAATTTAAGTAAAATTTTTATATAGCTATCACTCGTACGTTTTTTGTAATTGTCAAATAAGCTGAGATAAACGCTAAAAGCGCATTTAAAAAAAAAAAAAAAAGGTTCAGTTAGTATATACAATACCTAGATTTGTATCAAGTATTAATCTGGATTGTGCCAAGTACAGAGCGTGCACATAATCTTGAGCTTTAATACAATAATCCACAGCTAATTTGGTATCTTTCAATTCAAGTTCCGCAAAATCTGCAGCCTCTCGGTAACGCTGCGTGGACGACAGCATTGAAATTATTGTTTTTTTTACTTCACTTTTACCCGTATCACTAAAAAACCCCAAGATCATCATTATTATAATGGTACTAAAATTATAAGACGTATTATTTTTTAACTTCTTACTCGTAGTTTAATTTATAACATAATTCTAATGCTTCTTTCCAAAATCCGGCTTTTAAGTAAGATGAAATCGCTTTTTTTCGTTCTGTACTGTAGCTATAGACTAAAGCCGCTTGTTTGTAATCCATTTTGGAGTAGAGTAAATCACCATAGTGTGTTGCAATTAATTTGTATCTGATAAACATAAAAACAATTAACTACTCAAAAATATTAAGTACCCCACACAAATGGGTTCGGCTAGCCGAATCCTCTCTTCCTATATAAAGCTCTATGCATTTCTATTTATTAACAGATTCCTATTTTTAAGTGGTCTACTTCCACCTGTAATTTCTTATATAGTCTAAACCACAAGTTAATATTTGTAGTCATCATTGTCAATATTTATTTAAGTTAGCAGTTAAAAGTTTAACAAATTTTAATTGTATGTAAAAGATAAATTATTTATTATAAATAATTAAAATTATTTATGACTGTAATTTAATTATAAATAATAAATGCTTAAAAAACTTTTTTATGAAAATGTTCTACATTTACCTTAAATATTTGACTAGATGACTCCAAATTTGGGTTAAATTATTGTTTTACATAAAGTAAAGGGAGAAAAAAGTTTAAAGTATCATTTATAAATCATAAATGCAAGTTAACTAAAAGTCTAATTTTAAATAAATAGTTAATTTATTAATGAATAAATGATCAAATAATAATTATACATAGTCTACAGTCTACACTAATCTTTCCCATTTTACTATACTATTTTCTTCTTATTTTGTCAACACGCTCAAACTATTCTACTTAGTATTATAAAAATTAAATAATACATTTAAGAAAATCTTACTCGTCTTGATTTTGGTTATAGAGAGTCAACGCATGTGTATATAAATTATTATCAATAATATACGCCAAGCATTGTTTGTAGTTGTCTTCGCACTGCACTAAGTTATTCAAGGCTTTAATTTTATTACCTAACTTATCTTCGATTGTAAATCTCATGAAATGGTTATTCATTTTTTCTAATTCTCTTAAAAACGGTACATATTCTTTTGGATCAAGTTGAGAATTATCTTTAATAAAATTAAAAAAATATATAAATATTTAAACAAATCATTTATATTAATGAAATTTACTCACTAATAATTTGCATGGCCATTTCCAAATTATACTCAGCGAGCGATGCTTTGTATAATTTATCTACGTCTACTAAAAATAATAAATGTTTTAAGTAGACATTGTTCAACGAGGCTAGATTTAGCGCCAAATCGAACTTTTTAAGTTTTACATAACACCCAAGTAATGGAAATGCATATTTTTCTTTGTCCTTTTCGTTCAGTATATCTATCAAACGAGAACACACCATATGCACCTTATTATCTAATTCTTTCACTTTGTTTTCTTGGAATTGAGAAGCGTATACAGTGTTTAAGTAATTTTTATTTTCCAACTCGGTAATAAACAAACTGATCCAAGACGAATCTTTTACTTGGTTAATAAATTCACTCAGGTCCTTAATAAATTTTGCAGGATCAAGATCACATAGCACGTTTAAGTTGATACGTTCTTTGCGTAACAATTCAAATGCCATTAAATATTTTCGCTCGACAATAAAATTAATAGCCGACAAAATCGTTAATGGTCTCGGCCTAATTGTTTCTAAATTTCCTCTAGGAAGTTGTAGAATGACTGAATTGCCCGTAACAATTATTATTGTCGATCCTGTTTCTACTCGTCGTTGATATTCGTCGTTATCGTCCTGTAATTAAGTTTATATATTACACAGGTTATTAAATAGCAAAATTAAATAAAAAAATTATGTTTAAAACCATGGATTTAAAATGTTTTCAAGCCTAAGTGTATACTATATGTTATAACTAAAACAAACGTTGATTATTTACAGAGTATGACAGTCAGATAAAATATGAACTTAAAAAAAATAAAACATTTTTAAGTTAAGTTAAGTTGTGTATTGTTAAACGATACACAATAGTTTTATCATTCACTTTTTATGAGTACACACACACAGCATATACAATTATGACTTTACCAGTCACCACCGATTTAAACATTTTACCTTGGATGGATTAATGTTGTAAGCGATAAGTCTTTGATTTAAAGTGACAGCCAAGACAAACGGATAACGCAAACAAAACGACTCAATATTGTTCAAAATCACTTTGTCGTTTTCAAACAGTCTTTTGGAAACACCAAGAGCGTAGATTTTGTCTTCCATCACACGAATACAAGTGCATTCTTCAGGCAAACTAGCATAAGGTTCAATTTTGTTTGTCATGGCATTCCACAATAACACATCTCCGTCAGACAGCTGTACAAGAGCCCCGCGTGTATGATTAGTAACACCGATAACCGGCTGGCATACAGTATGTTTTGTTCTAATAAAAAATCGATAAAAAAGCAGCTATTTATTTTGTTACTTAACTTAATGTTATAAAAAAAAAGAATTACATATTTTTATTATCAGCATCGAACACCAATATACATATGTGATGAATATCACTAAGTTCAGACAGACTAAAAAGCAGCGTATTTTCATCATACCAAAACCAATGATCAATCAGCCCAACTGTGTCTGTGATATTATTGACCGAAACTAAATAAAAATAAATTAATTTGAAACAATAAATGATTAGTAATTGGTGTTAATCAAATTTTATATTAGTTATAAAGCTTCAAATTAATTAAATAAAACATTATATTTTTTTTTCGAGTATATTAAAAATAATTTTTGTTTTCTAAATAAAATTATTATAAATAGAAGCAAGAATTAATTTTTATTTTATTGTTATGAAAATAATTGAGCGACGTTAACAAGAACTAAATACTAAAAATAATTAACTGAACATTTTTGTACAAACAAATAATATATCAACATATGAAGGGCTGCAGGGAAAAAAGATCAATGTCAATTTTTTTTCATTCTGAGAAAATCATGTTTTTAATTTCAAAACGTAATACATTTTGCCTGTATGCCTAAACTTTCGACGGTCATTACTCTCAACCAATCTGTTTTTTTCCATGGTTTGAACGCATAAAAGATACAATACGTCAATACAAATAATTTGATACCAAAATCTCATTTTCAAAAAAAATTGACATTGATCTTTTTTCCCCGCAGCCCTTTATATATTTTTAAATTTTCTCTTTTTAAATGAATTGATTAATTTTAATTTTTTTTTAATTATAACAACAAATAGTTATATTGAATACAATAGTGTTTTGTAATTACACAACGATTTAAGACAGCTATTATTAGTCATAATTTAATACATTTATTTTTAAAATGTAAAGTATAACTTTTAAAATATGGAGTACTTTGTTTGTTCACTGTTTAATAATTATTAAAAATTCTTACTTTTTTTCATGAACTCTTTTTTATATTCATAAAAATGAATACTTCTATCATTGCAGACAACACAAATATTATTGCCGTTTTTTCTGAAAACAAATAAAATGTTTTATTTTATAAATTAATTAATGTTTAGTATACATTAAAGGTCAACAAATAAATTACCACATATTTTAATAAAAGATTTTTGTTTTATTTGTTGTACACTAAAATTAAATATTTTTATTGTATTAATCTATTAAACTAACTCCAGGATTTTAAGCATAAAATAAAATAATTAGTAAAGCTGAAGTGAATATTAAAACAATTTTTGAAATAAATTAAGTATTGTTTTTTTTCATTATTTAAAGCTACTAATTAAACATTTGTATATTTTTTATATTCAAAAATGGCTCTAATGATTTTGACAAAATGTGGTGAATATACTATTTTGAGTGAGATAACTGGGTCTCGACTTCGGAAAATTCATTAAGTCATAAAGTTATTTATTTTTTTAATTTCTTATGTTTTATTTTTTTTATTATATTTAATCATGTTTTAACCGAGCATAACTCGATCTCTTGGTTATATACTTTGTAGACAGCGAAAAAACAAAACTGAAAATAAATATTTTAATTGTTATAACGCATTTAATCAACAAATGGAAAAAAAGTGCAACAAAAACAAATTTAATAACGACAAAAAATTAAGAATGCTTTTATTATTAAGCAGTAAATCAAATAATGAAGAAAATCGTATTATTGTTATTTGTCACTTTTTCCTTTTGTGCACAGCTCTTTATTGTTGCAACGTTAAACACCGTCTGGAATTATAAATAAACTAACAAAAATATATCAAAACATTTTTTAGTTTCAAAGAACTATAACTATTATTTTTTAAATTTATTAAGTTTTATATTTCTTCTTTAAAATGGTGATATTTGATCCAGGTTGGAAAAATAAGTTATAATTTTTTTATCTAAAAATACATAATTTATGCCTAAAAACTGAATTACATTAGTTACAATATGTTAATATTTTTTACTAATTTAAATATATATTTTTTATATTTTAATAATACTAAACAATATTTTTGAGACATTAAATTTATGGTCAAAAAATTATTATATATTTATATAAAAAGTTTTAAAATTTTTTGCTTATAAAATTATTAACATTATAATAAATTGAATAACTATTTTATTTACCGAGCACAAAGTTATCCTAGCACTAAATAATTATATAATTTTAAGTGGCTTATGTGAAAAATGCTTGTTGTCAAACATATTAACGAAATCGGCATGGATAGCTAAGATATTTGTATGAAAATATATAATATTCCAAATATCAATATATTTTAAAAGAATTAATAGTATAAAAGAAATGTAGTGTAGAGGTAAAGTGTCTTTGTAAAATGTATGATATGTATAAAAACTGTATATCAAGCTACCAAGACAACATAGAGGTAATTTTTTAAAACATCTTTATAAGGCGGTTACTTTCTTAGAACTATCATGTCCCAAACCTAATAAGTTAAGTATCAAATAAGTGGTAAGAGTGTACTTTTGTGATTTCTTACACTAGCCATACACAAAATAAAACAAATTAATGTACATTAGAGACTTATATTTAACATTTTAAAAACAATTTAGTTAAAAACTAAAATATTTTTTAATACATATAAAACAATATACAATGCATAAATCATTTAATAGTTACAAAATTAAATACGCATCAAAGCTAAAAAAATATAATATTATATAATGTTTTTACCCTAAATATTTATTAACATTTTAGTTTGTCACCATAAGTCTAGGTGCAATATTCATGGACATAAGTTCTTGGAATAGTAATTTTGCTGCATACGGTAATCGCACTTGTGAAATTTGTGTTTTATTTTTGCATCCTTTGCATTCGAAAGTATTGTTTCTCAAATTAGCGATGGCAATTAAACCACAGAAATTGCAAATATGTATGCGGTAAGGATCAGAAACTTCAAATAGACGTTCACGTAAAAATTGAGCTGCACCGTGGGCGATTTGACAATCTCGTTCCATCTCTCCAAATCGTAGACCGCCGTCTCTGTAATAATAATAATAATAGACATTGTTGGACTATTTATAAAAAATATTATCTTACCTAGCTCTTCCTTCCATAGGCTGTCGCACTAAAATCTGGACCGGTCCCCGAGCTCTTGAATGTATTTTGTCGTCCACCATATGTTTAAGACGTTGGTAATAAGTAGGTCCCAAAAATATTTGGGCATTGATTTTTCTTCCAGTAAATCCATTGTACATAACTTCATTACCTCTTAGATGATAACCATACTCTTGGAGTAAAGTAGAAATTTTCTGCACATTGACAGCATCGTTAAACGGTGTAGCATCACCGATTTCTCCTTTATTTGCCGATACTTTTCCTTGTAAGCACTCAATTAAATGGCCGATTGTCATTCTCGAGGGTATAGCATGAGGATTAATTATAATGTCGGGAGACACACCTTCACTAGTAAATGGCATGTCTTCTTGTCTGTACTGTATTCCACAAGTACCTTTTTGACCATGCCTAGAGGCAAATTTATCGCCGATCTGAGGGATTCTCTCAGATCGTACACGAATCTTGCAAAATTTATAACCTTCGGAATTTAAAGTCAATAAAACTTGATCAATAAGACCGGTTTCACTATTTCTTAAAAACGTACTCGCATCTCTTTTTGAAAACTTCTTGGTGGTACCTTCAAGTTCATCTTCATTATCTGGAAGCGTCATTGTTTTGCCAATAATTACATCATCTCCCGACACTCTTAAGCCTGGTGATATTATACCGTCATCGTCCAATTTATCGTAAATAGCATTCCTCATGCCTTGACAAGTTGCACGATTTGGTTTTTCAAACACTTCTTCTTGATCACCGATGCGTTTAGATTCAGAATCTTTATAGGAACGGTAAAACACAGATCTAAAAAAGCCTCTTTCCACAGCCGAAGCGTTTAATATAACACTGTCTTCTTGATTGTAGCCAGTATAACATAAAATGGCAACAATCGAGTTGATACCGGCTGGGAGTTCTCTAAACCGTAGATATTCCATAGATCTTGTAGTTACAAGCGGTTTATGAGGGTAATAAAGAACGTGAGCCAACGTGTCCATTCTAACGTGGTAATTTGTTATATACACTCCCATTGCTTGTTTGCCCATAGCACTTTGATAAGTATTTCTTGGACTTTGATTATGATCGGGAAACGGTATAATCGATGCACACACTCCTAATATCATGGCAGGATGAATTTCACAATGTGTATAAGTCGTACAGTAAGCAAATTCCTTTTCTTGTCTCAAATCATCGGGTGACATCGCAATCATCGTGGTTTCTTCTTCTAAAGTATCAATATACTCAACCACACCGTTAGATACGAGAACTTGCCATCCGTAATTATTGTAGTCACGCTCTTTTAAGCTATCAATATGACGTTTCTTCAATAATAATTTTCCATTTTCAACAATTAGCAACGGACGACATATTCGACCAGCATCTGTATAGATTCTAATTTCACGGTCGCGTATATCACGAATAATACTGACTTCACTAACGATAATATCCATTTGGCGTCGAAGTTTTCTGAGCGTACCCATAAGTTGTTCAGGATCACGATGAATACCAACCCAACATCCATTGACAAAGATTTTGGTCGCGTCAACAATAGCAGACGGAGCAATTTCTTCCAAGTTTTCCATGCTCCACTCTTCCAAAAACTCTAAGATTGGTGAAGGTTGAGATCCGACAGATATGTAGGCCATTAGTGCCAAATTTTTTACCAAGCCAACAGCAGCTCCTTCTGGCGTTTCAGCAGGACATAACATTCCCCACAAGGTGTTATGCAGCTGTCGAGGTTTAGCTAGTTTACCATCTCTCCCAATCGGAGAATTAACACGTCTTAAATGAGACAGCGTCGAAGCAAATGTAAGTCTGTTCAATACTTGAGACACACCAGCTCTCGCTTGATGGGCTTTCTTTTGATCTCCCCAGTTTCCAGTAGCTAAAGAATATCTTAAACCATCAGTTATAAGTTTAGTTTTAATAGCCAAATCTAAATTGAAATCTTTTCCCCGATCAATAAATTTTTGAGCATACATACGCACTTCTTTCATTAAATTTTTAAATAGACCTCTAAACAAGAAAGCCAATAACGGTCCAGCCAAATCCAAACGCTTATTACCATAATGATCTCTGTCGTCCAATTCACGCCGCCCAAGTGAAGCCAACAGCAAACGATGCACCATGTATCCCAAGAAATATGCTTTTTTGGTTTCACAAAAATCTGAAACACCGACATGAGGCAACATTTCTTTTTGAAGAATTTCTCGAGCATATTTTATACGTTTTTCTTTGGTCACCCCAGGTCTTGCCCCACGAGAACCAATAAAATTTAGAGCGACATTTTGTTCTTGAATGACAAAAGCTTCATCTAGTGATGGCTTAACCATTTCCATCATTTCCGGATCATCAAAGTCATATATTATGTGCTCTAAAATGTCTCGATCAGCAACGAAACCCAATGCTCGGAACACTATCATAATGGGTATTTCTTGTTTAATATATGGCAAAATGGCAATAATACGTTGACCGATTGCAGATTTTTTTATACTTTGGCCACCACGGGCCATCATATTCACCCAAAGGGTAGAAGTAGGACGGGATGAATGTTCGAGACACGATCGGATTTCTGCCTTAAATGCATATTTACCGTCTTTCATGCTGAATACATAAACAGTATTTGTAGCCATTTTTTCTTGAGCTATAAGCACTTTTTCAGAACCGTTGATAATGAAATAACCGCCAGGATCGAGAGGACATTCGTTTAACTCTGTTAAATCACGATCATTCAAACCGAACAATAAACAGTAAGTCGATCTCAGCATAATGGGGATTTTTCCGATAAAAGACTTGGAGTGTTGAGTAACTACCAGTTCTTCGCCGTCTTTAAGTACAGTTTTTGTAATATCTACATAAAGTGGAGCGGAATATGTTAAGTTACGGAGTCTGGCTTCATTTGGCATCATGGGGGATGGGGAACCGTCTTTCTCCCAATGGGTCGGTTTGGACAGATAAATCTGTTCAAATTTAATTTGATACTTCGTAGGAGTATCAATTTCACCATGTGTGTGCTGAGACTCTGCTTGTAATTCGATTTGCGGAGAATCTTCTACTATTCGTTGCACAGACATCTGAATAAACTCGTCGAACGAATCCAATTGTTGTCTTACCAATCCTTTTTCGTCGAAATAAGAATTTATTACTATCCAGCAAGCTTCTTGCCAAAGCTCACTGGAAATCTCTTCGTTCTCTTCTTCCTCTTCGTAATCATCTTCTCCCAAATCGTACATTTTATTTGTCTTTTTAGCTGACAATAAATTATATCTTTAAACTTCCATAAGAAACGAGCACAGCACGTTTACTAACGCGATGGCTGATGACCGTTTGTTTATAATATTCATTTTCAAGGCACAATACTTATGTTCTACACCATTATCAAATTCGTAACGTGTGTAACGAACGTCAAAGAGGATACAACTTATTTTATAGGTTATGTCTATATTTCGAAATAAGCATAGATAACGCGGCAGTAATTGATATTTGAATTATTGTGCCTTGCGGGCACAAAATATAATTTCCCTCCCTTTTAGCAGCTACGACTGACGTTATAATACATTAAACATTTCGGAATTAAGTTTCCCAATAATATCATATTAACTTGAGAGGGCACCTAATTTGAAATTTCGAATAACAACAATACGACCTACGACAAACATTTTATTTTAGGTACAATTGTCCATTTACAATTTTAAAATACGAATCACTGATAAGGAACGGAAAGAGTGAAATGTCATCCAAATAACTAAAACACGAAGGTACAAACCAATTTTGAATTTTCTCATTAAGATTTTTTAAATTTTCAAAAAAAGGTAACAATGTAACAAAAGAATGTTTTTAAAACGTTAAAATGTTGCAGTTGAAATGTTAATTGCAAATAAAATATTTTAGAAACAACATTCAAAAAATGATTGTATGTTTATAAATAACATTTATAGAGTTTTAGAATTATATATTTTTTTGATATTTTTGAAACTATAATGTATAATTATATATAAATATTTTAAGCAACTTTTTTTTAAAATGTTTATATAAAATGTATAGTTTATTTTTCATTGCCGTCATCGAGATTGGTATTCGTTACAACGAAAACTAATACAATTCATTTAAAAAAAAAAAAAAACAGACTACTTTCTGTAGGAGAAATGAAAAATCATTTTGTTTTTATTTTGTGGTAAGTGAAACTTACTAGTTTTTGATGTAACAATCGCAGATTACTATTTTACATAGCAAAAAACAAAAACATACAATAGACTTTTTTATATGGCTAATAAAACATTTTACTTTTGGAATGGCCTCTATATGCAGTGTTGACTTGTTAATGTATTAACTTATAAACATTATGAATATAAAATTTAAGCGAGTACAAATAAAATGCAAGTACTTACCTCAAGTTATGTGGCAAAAACAATACAGAATCAATAGGTTTATCTAAAGTCAGTTTTAAATGATACATAGGAGGTGGTATAATGACTTCTTTAAACGGAGTTAGCAAAATTGAACCTAAAAAATAAATAAAATTGTATACTTAATAACTAATAAAAATATGTAGTTAAATGTAATTTATACATACAGTGATCAATAACAGCTACCCAATCTAGCGTTCCAGAACTCGATGTACTTAATGTTTCTATCCAATGTAACATCGTTGTAACTCCATTTACGGTAATTAATTGTAAGTTATTAGTGGGCAACCATTTTGCAGCAATTATTTTGTGTTTAAACGTCATCCATTTTTTAATTTGCCATTGATAGTTTGTGCAAGTTAGCATTAATAGGCAATCTATTTTTCCTGAGTATTCACAATGAAGACACATTATTGAAGAATCATGGTTCCACAATATCTGATTGACCTATTTATGTAATAGAAAAAGTTATAATACAGTGAAAAATAAACTTTTATTATCGTATTTCATATTTCAATTTTAAAAGTCCATTAAAAACTGTATATTTATATTGGTAATTGTTATTAATTATTATATTTAACGTTTGTATTTAGTAATAGCAGATCGTGCCAATATGAGATTGAACCCTATAAAAAAAAGTTTTTCAGCCGAGTCTGCAACCACGAAAGAACATAAGCATTTTCATGTCTCGTTGAAGTACCGAATAAATATAGATTAGTTGTGGGATTATAAATAAAAAAAAAAAATTACATGGAGCTTCCAGTTACAGCATAAGGCCAAGGAGATAAAAAAATTATGTACAATCAAGTTTCTGGCTAAAATTGTAGTGTTTATTATCTGGCCAAAAGTAACTTAACACAGAGAATTTTGATAATGCTTTTTTCGGTTATGTGCCAGAGCTAAGACATGAAAATGTCAAAAATTTGAAAATTAAATAAATGTATTATATTATATTTTAGTGTTAGAACGTTTTGTTAACTCTCCCGATCTTCTTCTAACCATTTTAGCTCAACGTAAGTTTAACTGTCTTCTGGCAGTTTTCTGTCTTTCTATGGCTCCTTCAATTATTATATATTATAATGAATTATATACATTTCAATGAAAATGAATGGAATTTTTTTTCTGAGTAAATACAATATAATTTGCTGCCGAACATTTGGCAGAGATCTGCAGGAGTTGAGCATTGCCTACAACAAAACCGATTTATATATATATGTATTTAATTTAGTCTAAAACCGTAGTAGTAGATTTCTATTGATGGTTGCTGCATAGTTTGAACTCGGGCTTGATGCGATTGACCACCATGTGCCATATAAATACATTATTTTATGTGGATGGAATAGAAATAAGCAATTCATAAATTTAGTATTCTAGTTTGTTAAATTGCTATACAAAATATTATTTTACAGAAGATTGTGTAAATTAAAAAAGAAGTTAAAAATTGTGAAGCCCAAGTTTTGAATTCTGACGTGGAACCTTGATTCAAAGTGTAAAAATTGTTTTCAGTAAAAATGTCCTATTGCATATTAGTGGTTTTGGCATGTAGGCATGAATTGAACAATTTAAGTACATTATTTTAGTTAAAAAATCTTACTAAATATAATTAATAATAATTTTTTTTTTTTATAAATTAGATTTTACGGTGTAAAAAAAATTAGACATTAGTCTTAGAAGAGATTTAAAAAAAAGTACATTTTTTATTTTCATTTGAAATATTATAATTAATGTGAAAATTGATTCTTGAAAATTCCAAAAGATTATCAAATCAAATTTTCCAAAATTGTTAATTTGTTAAAAATTAATGGTTTATACTTTTTGAGCTTTGCATGGAAGCTAAAAACTTAATCAGTAAATCTTTACATACTTCAAGTTCAGAAGGTATGACAAACTCTCCATGTTTCAGTCCATTTTTCTCCATAAAACTTATCAGGTATTTTTCATCAGTTTGTTGGGGAAAAGACATAAGATCTTTAGAAGTTTTCCAACTCAACACTGCTTTTATACCTAAAATGTAATATAAAAACAGTTATATAATACAATTTTTTGTAATATATCATAAAAGAATTTATGAATACCAGGAAGAGGCTCGCTTATGTATTGAAGAATGCCATCTCTATTAAAGATTTTAATTGTTCTTAAATTATTTGTCGTATTAAAATATCCAACAGCAAAAAACATACTATCGGGTCTCCAACAAATATTTATTGCATTGTCAGCATCTATGCCATCACCAACAATTTCCTTGACAATTCTTTTATTTTTACCCTCAGAGCCATGAAACTGTGTTTCTTTTTTACCCCAGCCAACATTTACCAGTTGCTGCTCCGTCAACAAGATTTCTTTCACATTGAAGTTGTTTAAGACATCAAAACATTCGGTTACGACTGTAACTTGACCATTTTCCGATATTAAAACGAAACGTTCATAATCAGGACTGCACATTAAATGATTGGCAGGCTGTTCACAGTTGTATGCTATTTCTACAATGTTTTCTTGTATCAAAATTACGTCTCCATTCGAACAACTGACCAGAAAAGAATCCCACGGTGGGTTGTATATGTAACATACTATTTTCACGTCTTGGGCCTTATATGTTTCAGTTGTTTTCAAGTCTATGACTAGGTGCGGTTGATCGCCTACATTTATACGCCAAACTGCTTGATCCGTCGAATAACAAAGCTCACCGTTGTTGATAATCAACACAGAATTTGCTCCCTTTAGTTGATCGACACAAATCGATCGCGATTTAAGTAGTTTGAGATTTTTCATTATGTCAATGGATTAGAATAAATAACAAAATTACTAAAATCAATAATCATAAGCGAATAATTCGAAATCTGAAATATCAATTTGTTATCATTTTATACAACGTTATCAAGCGGCACCACGTGAAATCATCCAAGGACGTAATAATATAAAATATGTGTGTGTGATAAATGATATCAAGAAACACTACTAAATAATAATAACAATGACTTCTTCCATCAGTTGTGGTTAGTATGCAAATACGTAATGACGATTTTGGCTTGGGCCTTGGCTATTGTGCTGTATTTTTAGTTTTTACTCTATGGTTCATCGTTTGTACGTTGAATAATTTATCTTGTTGATGCCAGAATTAAACACTATTTAAATAATTCTTAGTTTTTGATACTAAAAAAGGTGGTAAAACCGGATGATGCAAATAATTTTAGTTTTGTTATAAACTAGTTAGTTTGTTTTTCTTAAAAACTCATTACAAAAATTTATGTTTTTCTGAAGTGATTTTTTTCAATCTACTTGTGTATAATTTGATTCTACCTACTTGTTTTATAACAAATATATTAGTCATTTATAATGGGACACCTATTTAAAATTATAATATTATACAGTTTATGGGCATCCATTTTATTTTTAGCCACTTTTATTTCAATGTACAGAGTGATTCAGTACACTCGCTTACAAGTATAATCACTAGTGATTCAAGACACTTTTCTTAAAAAAAAATTGTGATTTTCTAATTTTTTTTTTTGAAAACGATTTTTTAATATTTTAGTATTTTTTAGTATTTTTGTTATTTTACACTTTATAGTATTATAAAATTACTAAATATTTACCATTTTTAGTAGAATGGTCGATAATCAGTTTAGATATTAATCGCTAGTAATACGCGCAACCTTCAAAAATATAAAACTTATTAACTAATTACTGGCGACGCAACATGTTTGCACATTCGTAGTCAGCACAATAAGTATATGGTGTTTTTGTTGAACCCATATACTTTTGCCAATTGGAGCGACCCCCCTCGGATTTTTTAAAAAATTACTCTGCATGTCTACTACGACGAAAATAATGTTTGACCATGGTCGTAAAAAGTTTTTGGAATTTTAGCTGTAAGCGAAACAGTATTGAAGGCTGGTCTAATGCCTAGACATTTACTATACTTGGAATCCATAAAAATTAAAAGCTAGCCACTTCTTATTTGTCTATACTCTATTCGGAATAAGAACAGGCCTAAAAACCACATGAAAAACCGGTTTTTAGGTAGCCGCGGAGGCCTGTTCTTATTCCGAGTAGAGTATAATTGTTATTATAATTATAATTTTGTTGGTAATTTTTTATGTTTTATACTTGAATAATTGCAATCATCGAATTATTTCAAAATATTCTACCACACATTCTCGCATTACAAATTACTTCGAATTATTCGGTATTCGAATCTATTGTCGAAGTATTAATATGTATTATTACGTAAGACTAGTGTCCAATGGTTTTCTGTTTATAAGATTGAAATTAATTAGTAACTATGTACCACCTGCCTGTTGATAAAGATTATTTAAAAATAACTCTAGACTTTAGTATTTTGCTGTATTCATAAATAATTTATGTATTAGTTTTCTGCGCAAATATAAAGTATTACCTTCCATATTGAGACAACGTAGTGGAGTCAAGGTAAGAATTGGTCGTCAAAGTGTGTGCAGTTTATAGAAAACTAGCTGCGTTACCACAAATTCGCCCGGCGGGGGGGGGGGCTATGCTGTATGCCGATTTTTTTAAAAATTTAATCCTATCTGACAGAGGACGCGAGTGCGTTGGTTGCTGAAGGGTACATTGTATATCTTTGTCGATTCTAATGCAGAGAATTCAATTTACAAATAGTAAATTCAGTGATCTGGTTCTTGAGGTTATAACTTGTGTACAAAATATTAAAGAATATATATATCGCTCGGGTCTTCAAGATGTAGTTGTAGCTATCGATTCAAGTTTATTCATTTATTTATTTATGAAAAATGAACCTTTAAATACAGAAATTATAAAGTTAAACTAAATCATCATATCTCAAAACAGTTCTGCTCTTCATTTACAATTTGTAATTTATTCTATAGAAATAACTATGATAGTCTGACAAAAAAAAAATGCCAATCAATAAAGTAACCTCATTAGTATTTATTGTATTAATAAGTATACACTATATAGTTCAGACCCTAAATTAAGATTTTGCGAACAATTGCCTATACATGGGTGGTGTAGCGTCCTCTGTACACAAGAACATATGGTTTTATTTTGAGTTAAGAATTTGACAAAAATTGCCTAAATTTAAATAAATCGAAAATTTTAGTGGCGCGGCGTCCACTTAAATCATAACTTTGTATAAAACACTTGTACTTTGTATAAAACATTGTACTTTGCTCTTTTACTATCGGTTTGAACAAGCAGCAATACAACAATGCAACAAACATATCATCCTCCTCCTTATTTTGATATATTCAATCATAAAAAAAAGACGCAATGTTTTGGCGCTAACATTATAGATGTATAAATATAATATTCCCCACTATATTTTTTCCCACTCAGTGGTAACTTTCAATAGTTACATTCGCTACTTCAGTATAGTTAGAACACTTAACGAACAAATTACACATCTCAGTGTCAGTGTTCTTATAATATTTGTAATAATATTTTTTAAAAATGTTAGAACTAAATTTGTTTACCGTTATTTGGATATCTTTAACTGCTTTATCATTGTATATTGCTATAATTTTATATAATAATTTATATAATTACCCTTCAGAACACCAAGAATTAATGTCAAAATTGCCTTCTATGACAAAAGGATTTTGGGAATGGATACGAGTATCGTTCGAATTGGCGTTCCTCGATCCAAGTGGTAAAATTTAACCGTTTCATTTTTTTTTTAAATTTTAATATTTAAACTTAAAATATTTTTTTTGAATTAGATTCATATTATTAAATATTCAATCTTTTTTTGGCTTTTCATACTTTGTTCTTGTATAATTTATAATTTTAATGTATCATTTTAAAGTAATTTATTAACGTAAAATAATTATTGTATTTATAATAACATATTATGTATGAGAATAGGTCATACTAAAGATTGCAGTAAATAAAGAAAAGTTTTCAATCATTAAATCCTTTTAAAAAATATATTTTTGGATAATTTAGATAAAAATTTAGTTGTACATAAATATATTATACAGTAAAAGTTAAATTAAGTACAATTAATTAAATATTTTTAATGTATACATTTTAATACAATACATACCATATCTACCTATTTTATTAACGAATTGCCCTAATAGTTTTTAAAAAAGTAACTCTTATGACTATTTCTCCATACATATTTTGTGTTATAAGTTATGCCATAAATTTGTTGTTGACAAAATTTCAAAATATTTTGTCGCTAGACCTTTTTCGGCCTTGACATTAGTTTTGGAACAATATGACGAACAATGAAAGTATTCTATAGACATAAATGAAATATTAATTAGGTTCAACGTATTAAATCATGATTTGTTAATTCAGAAATAATGTCATTTTTCCTTAATGGTGTAAAGAAATTTGGATCAGTTTATCACATGAACTTAATGGGACGATCTTATGTAATAGTAACAGATCCAAAAGATTTAAAGGTAAGTGATTTTTTTTTCTATTGATATGTGAGTACATACAACGATGTTTACAAATTTGGAACAAATGTACTTTACCGGGCACCCTTTTTTTTTAAATAGATATTACGTTTAATGCTGATGAAATTTTGCTAATGAATTTTTTGCCGGACAAACTTAGTTTGGGAGTTACAGACGTTTTAAGTTCGCGATTACGGCCGGTCGCGCACTATACAATAACACGGTTACAGCGGGTCGACTACCTGCTATCGCCCGTAATGCAAGGCGACGCGTTCAGAAATATAGTATAAATATTAATATTCTACTTGATTTAACTTAAAACCGCTAATAAGGACGGCAGGTCACCGAGTATGTTGGCACTCGCTCGCTCCGCTAAACCAAAAATATCCTAGGTTTGCAGGCTACAGTCTAGGAGGAGGTCACAGGTTTAAATTTAAGTAAACCATGGTATGATATTAATATCTACAAGGTATTACGGCAAAAAAAAAAAAAGACCACGACGGGCGAGAGCAGGTAGTCGACCCCGCTGTAACCGTGTTATCGTATAGTGCGCGCCCGGCCGTAATCGCGAACTTAAAACGTCTGTAACTCCGAAACTAAGTTCGTCCGGCAAAAAATTCATCAGCATTAAACGTACTATCGATTAAAAAAAAAAATCGAAAAAAAAGGTAAGGTACGCTTATACCAAATAACTTGTTAAAAATATTTTAAATTTAAATTAATTAATTAATCCGAAATTTTAGCTAATAAAACATGCACCAAATATTTTTTTATTAAGTCTTACGTAATTTTCTCTGTAAAATTGTTATAAATAAATCATGACTATCAAGGTATTAAAGCAATAATCACTACTACTCTCGTATTTGTTTTTCATTTTACTAATTTATTGACATTATTAAGGCAATAGAGTACATATTAATCAAAGTAAATAGTAAATAACGCTAATATATGACATCAATAAAAAAATATACGAAAAAAGAACAAAGTGAGTGAACTAACTGTTCGTAAATTTGTACTCTGATTATATTATGTGAATATAATTTTTGACATACATGGTATCAGACTCTAATCATAAATGTTTGAAATTGTGTACATTCTAATTTCTACTACATTAGACTTTTTTGGTATTGGATCTCGACTTTTCTCCAGAACTGAATATATTCTTTATTAATTCAAACATTTTAAGCGGTATTTTCTTTTAATAACTCATCGATAACCTATCCATATCGGGAGTTTTCCAAGTTGGAATAGTTTTCAGTACAAGATCAAATTCTTCTCTAATTACTTTGTTTATTAGTTGTGGTTGGTATATTCTGATAATCCTGTATATTATTTATACGGTGATCCACTAAATATAGATTTTACATATCATTCTTAATAAAATATTGCCTCTATTAATTAAAATAGATCTTTAAATAGTTTTTCTGTTTGAAAACATTTTTTTTCTTCAATATTTTAAAATTACATTTATTAATGAAAGTATTTATATTTTTTAATTAATTCAGAATTCTGAAATTGTTTTAACTTTTATAACTCTAGTGGTTCCGTATTAATTATTAATATTAGTAATAGATTGGTGTAATTTAATGTGTGTACAATTTTCCTTCAGATTATATTATCAAGCTCGCAACATAATACTAAAGGACCAGAATATGACGTGATGAGACCATGGCTTAACGATGGGCTTTTAATGAGTTCAGGTATACTATTATCTAACTATAGTTGATTTCATAATAAACGATGTAGGCATCCCTGAAGTAATGCTTAACAGCAGGTTCCAGAGCCGTCTACGATTCTAACAGCGAAATACTATTACCTAATTATTAATTTTATTTATTTAAATAACATTTAATTATCACTATAACATTGTATTTTGACAAAGAAAGGTTCAAAATGGCAAACCCGTCGAAAGATGCTTACCAATACTTTTCATTTTAAAACATTGGAATCATATAATTCTACAATAAACAGACATTCCCGTCTTTTGGCCAAAAAATTGCTGCAAGATTCAAAAACTCAAAAAGCAATTAATATCAAAGATTACATTGTATTGTGCTCATTGGACGTAGCATGTCGTATGTATATTTTAAGTAATTCAATATTAATAATTCAATAGTTTTTAATTATTTAAAACGCACTCCTAAAATATATTATTTATTCCCTTCTAGTATACTATACATCAATAATCATTTTAATAAATAGTATTCCATTTTTTTATCACATTACAAATTTGTTTAATAAATATTTTATTGAGACCATCTTGTTTAATCCTTTCGTTCCTGGAATTTTTTTTTTTCGAAAAAAATATCAACAATTTTTTTACGTATTGGATTGATATTGATTATCAATATAGCTGTGTCGATTTTTTTATTATTAATCTATACTAGAACTTGTGTTTAAAGACATTTTTGATAATGATAGTACGTTGTTAATATTTTATTCGATTTTTAAAGTTAAATACTCGTACGAGGATGTCAGTAACAAAAGGGTTAAACATTTTGTAAACAAAAATATTTATCAACTACATAAAGATAATTTATTAAATTGTCTAGACATATGTGTCTAAGGTCTATATAGCTATGTTAGATGCAAGACAAACATAGAAATGAGTTAATAAGAGTTAAAATGCAGGAGAATCAGAGCAAAATACATGCTCGTATTGAAACAATATGAACATGTGTAAATGCCGTGTAGTTTTTTTAATACTTTTCTCACCTAAAAATAGTTACTAAGCTCCATTTCCAATGGAATAGAGTTAAAGAGGCAAAACCAGTCCATTTGAGTGGTAATAGGCAAAACAAATCTGTCATTGAGTATAATAATTAATATTACTCTAAATAAAATGTTTTATTTTTACAGAAACGATAATGGGTGTTGATATGCAGTCTCAAGAGGGAAAATCTCAAAATTATGTCAGTGCAACTAAAAAGTAAAAAAAAAAAATTAATTATTATGCAATTTTTAAAAAAATATATTTATATCATGGATTTTATTGAATGTGCCCGACTTATATCTAATATATGAATAACAATTTGAAAAAACTAATCATCAGACACTTATTTGTAGAAACTTAATTGGGTTAATCAATTGTTTTTAATAGCGATCATTAGTAAATCCTTTCTTCTTCTACTTCATAAAAAAAATGTAGAACGCCCCTTCCCCGTTTTTATAAGCTGGATCCTACCTATGCTTTAGGTAGGTATTAATAACATGTATACCAAGAAAAATAAATTTAGTTCGCATATTTGTTTCAAGAGCAAGCAAAGCAATGATCGATCGAATTTTTACGTTTTGGTTATGGAATGACTTAATCTTTAAAATAAGCAAAAGCGGACGAGTATTTTACAAATCCCTTAAAGTACTTCACAGTTATACAGAGAAGGTATATAAATATTATGTTTTGAAATATGTTAAGTTAAATTGAGAACAATTAAGTCAAATATGTTGTGCGTAGATAATTCAAGAAAAACGTATAATATTAAACAAAAAAGATGATGAGAAAGAAGTCAAAGAAAATTCTACTAGTAAGACAACAAACAGCTTAAAAATACAAAGTTTCATAATTTTTAATTATCTCAAACATTATTTATGTTTATAATTTTTAGAGACTTCTAAGAACACATCGTTCCTGGAGCTCCTTATAAAAATGTCCAACGAATATCCAGATCAAATGACCGATGAAGATATAAAAGAAGAAGTGGACACTTTTCTATTTGAAGGTCATGATACGAGTTCAATTGCTGTTACAGCGATATTGTTACTTCTCGGCATTCACCAAGACATCCAAGTATTAAAACAACACATAAAATACATTTACAAGATTGCAATTATTTTGTTTTTTAAATTTTTAGGAAGAAGTCCGAGATGAATTACATAGTATATTCGGTGACTCGGATAGAGACGTCACAATGGAGGACCTGAATAAAATGACATACTTGGAAATAGTGATAAAAGAAGGGCTCAGAATCTATCCTAGTGTACCGACAATAACAAGACGCCTCACTGAAGTTTTACATTTAAGTACTATGAAATAAGTCAATTCTATTAAATTTTATAATTTCTTTAGTCAAAAAATATTAATTTAACTATAAACATGCATCATAGATTTCCGTTTAAATTTTATAACACTTGACATTCATTCTACTTTTAGCTAATTATAGTATTCCTCCAAATACAATAATATCAATAATGCCATATGTAGTTCATCGTGATGATGAATTGTATCCAGATCCCGAAGCATTTAAACCCAAACGATTTTTAGATGAGGAAAACAAAACAAAATTTTTATTTGGTTACTTGCCATTCAGCGCTGGTCAAAGAAATTGTATTGGTGAGTTTTGATTAATTCATATCTCATTTGGTTTTAGGGTTTTGTTTCATGTTATAAACAATAATTTCAATTGAACCAAGGTGATTTAATTTTAGGACAAAAATTTGCTATGCAGCAGATTAAGATCATCATATCGACTATTATACGTCAGTTAAAGTTCAAAACATTGGGCACTAGAGAAGACATCAAGATCACTAATGAATTACTAATACGATTTAATTCATTGCCAGACATGGAATTTTCTGCAATTTATTGATTTTGCTTAAATTTAATTCATATGGTTATAGTAACACTTTTACAATATTATATCCATTTCATATAATAAAATAATATAATATCATAAAATAGTTATAATAAAATATAGTAAATTTGCAGCATTTTGTATTGAAAAGTTTTTATAAATTTCAAATATGTAATCATATTTTAATACATTTAAGCTTCAATTTGGTGCTTGTTTTTTACAATTATGTGTTTTTTTGTGTCTGGAGCCATGATGTCTTTTTAACCGCTGAAACGATTTATTCTAGTATCATTTCTACCAGAAAAAGGCTTTACTGAGCCAAAAATTTAAAAAGTTCATCCCTACCTCTTCAAAATCGAGAAAAACACTAAAAAAAAAAAAAATATTTTTCAACCCTAATACTAAGAATACATTTTAAAATACATAATTGTCATTACATTCCCATCAAAGTGTTAGTTTTAAAATGGCATCATCACTCAATATAGACCTTTAACCTTCCCCACTCCAATATGTTGCAGTGCAGACCATTTTGCTGGTTATTTTTTATAAGACAAATGTATTCAAAATTAGAGTCGACGATTCGTGTAGTTCGAACTGACGTGTAGAAGTTTGTGTAGTTCGAATTCACATGTAGAAGTTTGTGTATTTAATACACGTGTAGGACCCGAGATTCAACTAACTTGACCCAATGGCTATAATACTTTATCTTAGTAACAAACATTAATTAAAGAATAGTATCATGTATAATTAGAGGTCTTATTAAAACTTACAGTTGTAAGAATACGTGTAGTTGCAGGTACACGTGTACTTTTAACTACACAAACTTCTACACGTGTTTATAATTACACGAACTTCTACACGTCAATTCGAACTACACGTGTATATACTTACACGTGTAATCGGTAGCTCTAACTCAAATTAATGATTGATGAACTGGTTTTGTAAATTTTATTTAATATAAAGTAGTGATGAAAATGGCATTCACAGCTCACTTGAAACTTATAGGCTACAGTTTATTCAGAGTTCAATATTTATTTTGAAAGTCTATTTAACTTCACATGCTGATTTAGGTTAAATGAATAGTTTTAAAATATTAGCATAAACACTGAACATTTTAGTACTCGGAGAGGGCACAAGACATAGGCAACACAGGTTTATTGCTAGGGAGGCATTTTTTTTTATACCAATTGAAAAGTTTTAAAAATGATTAAACAATTGTAAAGGTGGGAAAATTGGAGTTTGCCTAGGTTTAAATGACTATCAGCTATCCCTATATATTATTGTTTTTGTAATTTTAAGTAGAGAGCAAGTTTCTAAAATTCACAACACCTTATCAAACTGTATGACTAGTCGAACGACTATGCTTATTTGTTTTATTATGTTAGTTAGTTATTACAATCTTTTATAAGTAAATAATTTTAGAGGAGTTAGAAAAATATTATTTAAAAATATTAAATACTTACACTGTTTAAAAATTTACCAGTGTTAGTATTTCTTTTTAATATTTAAAATAAGAAATATTTTGTCTTAATCTACAATCACATTAGATTGCAAGAGAAATATAACTGTAGAATTTATTTTGAATAGACAATTATCAATTATTGTTACTGTAGACGGAACTTGTTGTTTCACACATGACGTTACGTATCTCACCATGGTGGATCGTCTGAATTTACACGGCAGATGACTTTATCCTGAATTACAAAAGCTCACCAGTCACTATTGTAGATCAACATACGACACAAAATTTGTATTTTATGTAATCAATGTAAATATAGTGCGATTCGCGACTCGTGTAGTTTATTGAGATGTTTCATTATAGTAAATAGTAATGATTAATTAATTTCAATAAACAACAAAATTGAAATCTCAAAATTGGTAAAATTAAAATATTCTGATGCTTGATGAAAATAACGAAAAACATATTTAGCTTACACTGATTACACATTACAATTTTTTTAACGTTATCAGACACCACCACTGACCACGTGAAAACCTCCAAAGACTATGCAATTGTGGCCATGATAACACAAGAGAATACTGATAAGTCCCGATGTTATTATTTCTTCAGTTCTTCCATCGATTGCATGTGTTTTGTGTTGAACGTTGGATTTTTGTTTTTTGTGTCTGATTTTTCTCGTTAAAGTCGTTTAATAATTATTATTTGATTGAATAAATTAAGAATTAACCGTAGATTTGACCTATCGGTGACATTTAAGGATTCTGAAGGCTCACCGTTAAAACATGGACAATTATGCTGTCGAAAATGATACCATTGGGTCGGAACAACTGTTTTTTAAAATTAATAATAAACAGGTTGTGTTTAAAACCGATAAACGAACTGTTGAAAAACTTAACGATGGTATGTTAAGAATATATTTATTCCTATTATTAATAATTTAACTTGGGACAAAACAAAATAATGGGGTTAGAAATATTTAGCTAGATAGAAATAGACTTCTATAATGAAAAAAAACATAAACCTGTTAAAAAATATTTCTATATTAATTTGAAATAGAACATTTCAGGTTTTTTAATTATTGTGTATAAATAATAATACATAAGATTTGTTAAACATTAAATGGATTTACTAATTAATTTATATCAACAAGAGTCTTGTTATAATACCAATAACAGTTACCGACATATTTTCGGCAAATGTAAAATTAAAAAAGTATATAAATTAATTACATACTCAGACACTAACTTTTCCTATTGGCATTTTCTTTGTATTTATTAATAAATTATAACTAACTTTGTTAAATTAATTTCTATTCATTAAAAAATTAATGTAAAAAAAATTATTATAGCTTAGATGCTGAGAATTCAGTAACTTTTTTGTTAATGTCAACTTAGTTCAATGTTTAATATTAGTTTTTTGTGTTCTTCTAAGTACGTTTTAACATTACTCATATTTTTAGTAATTAATAATATTTCAGAAGAAGTATTAATGAACTATGTAAAAGCTATAATAAATTCGAGGATGCTAGTATCAAATGGCCAAAGTTTAATTAACTATCCAGTAAACATCACTAGAACGGATAATTTAAACACTTCAAGTTCAATTATTGAGTTAGAAGTTTCCACTATTGTACAGAACGATGGTGTTGAAGAACTTCACTGCTCTCTTTTGAACGAGTGAGTATAATTACTTGTGGATTATTATTAAAATGAAATAGAATTTCAGTCACTGGAAATATAAGTATACTATATATATATACATATATCAATGATATTTTTTATTTAGTGGAACATCCAACAGTATTAGATCATCTAACGAATTCAAGTCTGTTATTGTAAGTCAGAATGTTGCTGACACTATTCCGTGGAGCGATATTAATGAAGCGTTTGTGCCAGATAGCGCGAGTATGTATAAATACTTATTTCAATTTATTTCCACTGCATATTTTACTTAAATAATTAACTTTTTTCATTAGAGTGCTATTTTTATTATACAGTATAAAAGTTATTTTAATTTACTCATATTAAAAAAACACATATATTTTTAGTGCCGGCTTTAAAATGGTCCACTGAAATGACATCTTTATTAATTGGATTAAGAGGAAGCCTCAATGATGAGTTTCATTCATCAAAATATAAGTTCAAATTATGGGAGTTGATTGCTCGTCGCATGAATAACGGTATGCCAGGTGTGAAAGTGACTGCTAAAGATTGCGATGATAAATGGAGAAATATTGCTGCTACATATAGAAAAAATATCGAAAAAATAAAGTATTTGGGAGATTTTAGTGTACGATGGGAACATTTTTCTGCTATGGACGAAATTCTGAAGGGGACAGATGAATTGAAAAAAACAGATTCTTATATTGGGGTCAACAAACCGGTTGATACCGATAGTATAATTAAAAGTCCTGAAACGGACCATACAGATACTGAAGAGTAAGTAAAATTTAAAATTAACAAAAATTATTTCGAAGTTTGTATGCGCTAAATTGTTAATATTATAAACTTAATTTTTTTTTCAAACAGGGAAATAATAAATATAAGTTCTAATGATAATATGGATTATTTTTTTTTGACTTCCACAACTAATGCAAACAATGGTAAGTGCAAATTTACATTAAAACTCATACAAACAAAAAATTTGTTAGTAAAAAAGTAGTCGTGTAAAAATAATTATACTAATGAATAATTACTATAAGTCACAAATACTTAATTGGTATATACCAAGTATGTTTTCATGAATTGAAAATAGTTATTCATAAATAAAAATTATTATTTATGAAGAACCAAATAATGAATAATGAATCAAATCATTTATATGTAAAAAAATTCATGAATGTTTTTTTTATTTTTAAATAATTATTCAAATAAAAATGTATTGAATAGTGTATTAAAATGTACTATTAAATACTTTAAAACATTGTTTGAGAACTGCATTGTTTTATTTTATATGTTTGAACATTTTTGAAAAGTACTGAAATATTCTCAAAAATGACAAAATGATACATGTAACTTTTTTTGCTTCTGACCACATTAACTTTAATATGACTAATAAAATAAAATTATTAATCTATTGATTGGTTTGATTTTAGAAATCAGGTTGTGGACACAAGAAATGATTTTACTATTGTTTTCATTACGGCGTTCAATGGCTGACCATTTTGATCTAGCAACAAAAGAATCAGAAAAAGATATTTTGTGGTTTGATTTGGTAACCAAGATGAATAAAAATCTTGGCTCAAATGCTGATATTGAATCATATGAAGCAGAGTCATTATGGAATCAATGTGTCGAACAATATGAAGCAAATTTAAATAAATTAAAAGCGGAAGGACCTCAAGACGTAAAATGGCCATATTTTGCAATAATGGATCAAATGCTCGGCGGTACTATAGAAATACCGGATTTTTATCCTCCTCGTCCCGGTGAAGAATTGGTACCGGCTTTCATGCAAGGAGTATGGAAACAAGTCGATGTACAAGAGACAATGATTAACTGCAAAATAGAACCTAAGTTAGTTGAAATATTTAGAAACTATTTAAAAAATTTGACTTATTTTAGTTTTGAGAAATTATTGTTTTTACAATGTGTGTTTTAAGTATTTTAAACATTTTTTTCTGTTTTGGTGTCTACACCCTCAACATACTTATAACCGCATGCCCAATATCTTTATGTGACAAGTCTATTGATCAGAATTCATACTCGGAATGTACTTTATTGGGCCAGAAATTCACACATTTTTCATAATGTTGCTACCTTATAACTTTTTTTATAGATAGTCGAATCTCTTCTAAACTTGAAATTCTTTAGATATAATACTACTAATACATGTAGAGTTCAGAGAAAAGGGGTTGAATCAGCTGATTTTATGGGACCAAAGACTCCATAAAGCATGTTCATGATCCTACTTTATTTTTATTTTTTTAGACCTATACATTTTTCAATCTAATTGTTAACATTTTCAGTATATTATTCTCAATTCAAGTTAATGACATATAAACCTGGGCCTTTTTTTATTTAAATAACAAATAGTTATTTGAAAATATTGAATCATTTGAAATATATTTTTATTTATTATTTGAGTTTTTATTTAAATATACATTTTTAATTATTTTTTTTTAAATTTATATGAATTCATTAAAAAAATAAAGTTAAATCTGTATTTACACCTTTTTTATTGAGGAAAACTCAAAATATCACTGTTATACATATTTATTGTCCATAAAATGATAAATATGTATACTACAAAGTTTTTACCATCTTTTGTTTCACATTGAAGAGTTTAATTGAAAGTGATTTTATTTAGTTATATTATAGTAATTCCTAAAGACATGTGATCTCTCCAAAGCCAACATGCTCCAACCCCACCATGCCCCAACACAACTAAGCTTGTTTTTTATTATAGTTATATTATTATTATTCTAATTTTTTTAGTTTGGAAATGAATGAAGACTCTGATCAAAGCGATGATAGTATAGTAGAGACAAAGTCTGGAGTGAAATGGAAACCAGAGCTCATACGCAAGTTGATACAATTACATTCGGACGCTGAAAATGAAGTAAAAAGATGGATCCGCAAACCCAATTCAATATGGGCAGTAGTATTGAAAAAGTTTCGACGTCTCGGAATAGTCACTTTAACGGAACAAGATTTGGAAAATAAATGGAATAGTTTAGTAAGGTCGTACAATTGTAAGGTTTCTGGTATTAGCAAGAAGTATAAAAAACATTGGCCGTATCTTGTTGGCATGCACAACGCGTTGAACGCTATTAGTAGTCAGAATAGTCATTCAGATAATATGTTAGTGAACGACGACGAAAATAAAACTGATCAACCACCCGAATGGTTCCTTAGCTATATGAGAAAAAAAGAAGCTATGGATGCTGATAAACACGAAGAGTTAAGAAGTATGTTAGTTGACATTCAACATAGTCAGATGGCGAACAGAAGATTAATACTTTCAATATTTAAAAAATTATAAAATTCCTAGTCAAGAATGGTTGTTTAATAGTCAGTTTTTTTTTACTGAAAAAAACTTCATTTAAATATTTTTATTATATAAGGCTGAAAGCGAAAATTGTGATTATATTTTTTTAAATAAATTAAAGTTGATAAAATTTTGCAATAAGTAATATTGATATTATCAATTAAGTTGTCTTTCATATATTATGAAAATACAAGATATATTATTTATGGTATTATATTATATTGGTTATTTTGATAAAAGCAAAATTGTATATGATAATATGTTCTTATTTGTTAACATAGCTCATAGATATGTCATTTAGTTTTTAATTTTATATCTATTTGTTTAAAAACGTTTAATAACAACGTGAAAAATAAATAAATACCAATTTATTGGTACTCCTGATATATTTTGTTACGTCTCATTCAGTTTTATACTATTGTCTTTCGTCTTTACTATAAATGTGTCATTTTTTATTTCATAAAAGTGAAAAGGAAGTGATACGCAATTGAGAGCTCTTATAATAAAATAGCGGTCAACTTATACGGTGTCTCATCAAGTTATGATAAGACTGATTGGCCGATTATATGGGATCTCTAATCTCTTTAGAGAACACAAATGATTAAATTGAGAATTCTTTTTTTAATTTTCTGATATTAAGCCCTAAATCTACACTTAAAAAGCGAAATAAAGAAAAAGTTTCTTTAATTGCATTATTTATTTGAATATTTTTCTGTTAAATACAGCTAGCGTCATTTTCCAAGTACAGCTTTTCTATACTCAATTTTTTTAAATAAAAGGAAACTTTAACAAATTAACTACACATTTTTTGATAAATTTATGACTGAAAAAGTATAATTTTAACTTAGTTTAAACAAAAAAAACCTTTTAAAATTAAAATAAAACTCTTGTACTGAAACAGCTATCCTGTGGTTAATGTTTTTTTATTCAAATTATCTCTTTATTCGAGAAAATCTAAGATGATTTATAAAATAAATAAAAGTTTTTTTTTTAATTAAGTCAACACTAAAATAATTAGTCTAAGAAAAATAAAATATTTAACAAAAAACTAAGAATTAATCATTTAATCAGTTTTAGACAATACCATTTACAATTTTTGTTTTTAATTTAAAAAGCTTTGGAGTTAATATAACTATTATGTTTGTATATTTTATAATACTATTGCTTTTATAATTATTATAACAATATAATTGTTAGTTTGTAAACATATTTTCAATACCTTCGGATAACACAGCCGATAGGTTTAATTAGTTTGTTAAGAATAATGCACAAAATACTTTTTACGTATCCACGATTATATTTAAATAATTTTATATTTTACAGTGAACTTGGGTACGTTTTATTTGAACAACCACAATAGTGTGATGTATTAGACTTTTAGTGGCGGGCATCCGTTATTTTTTCTTCCTTCATTACATTACGAAGGGAATAACTTTAAAGATTGATCGGTTATTGACGACATTAGTTCTGGACACTTTGCACCTGCGGTTTGTTATTTTACTTTATCACTTATCGATTTAAATCTGTTAACGTCTGACGAAAAAACAGAAATTCTTAAATCTCGGAAACTACTGATTAAATATTCACCAAGCAAAAGAAAACTGATAATTTTAATTTATTTAGTATAAATGTCATATATATTTATATATTACCTAGCGTTTATTTATTTACTTATGGAAAATACAAATTGTTCTCTATAATTTGTTTTTGTATTGGAAAAAGAATACTAAATAAAAAAATATAAATTCAATAATACCCAATTGTTTTCATTTTGTGTATAAATGAATTATTATTTTTATTCATGCCGTCGACATTAAAGTATATACAATTAACACAAATTTATTAATTATTATATTAATATCTAACTTTTTTGTAATAATTTGCAATCAAATTTGAAAATTGTGTTTGTTATGAACCATTTAATATCCTCAGTTACCAATAGTTTTTCACTTCAATCTATTAAGTTTAATTTAATACATTGTTATGTTCTATAACAAGGTATTACAAGACAGTATAAAATAGTACATGTTCTTAAAACAGTTATCTAAACAACAATGTAATAGCATTGAATATTTACAACGACAACAATATTTGTATTTTATTAATACTTAAAAGTAATATTTACAAAACATTATTTACGTTTTTGTTTTGAGTTTTAATACTTAAAATTATTATTAAAAAGTGGTGTTATTTTTAAACTGGGCAATGAATCGGCTCTTAATACCAATTGCGTACTAACAATAATATCTTTTTGTGTTCCTAGTGTTTCTAATTTCATGTATCTAACAACCGTTGATATTACAGTCTTCATTTGATACATTGCAAATTTCTGTCCTAAAATGACAAACAGTAATTTCATTTAAACTTATAAAAATATGTTTAGTTAGAACATTTCTTTTATTAATTCGTACCAATACAGTTTCTTGGTCCAGCGCTAAACGGTATGTATCCATATGGGTGTCGATTGATACACTGTTCCGGTAAAAACCGATCGGGATTAAACATTTCCGGGTTTGGATACATTGACTCTTCACGATGCAACAAGTGAGGAACGACGACTAAAATAGTTTCTGGAGGTATTATGTGGTTTTCTAAAATATTCATATTTTGATAATTCTGTTTCAAGTATGATATTAAATTTTTAAACATACTAAGACTTAATGGTTGATTGAGTTTTCTTGTAATACCCGTAACACTGGGGTAAAGTCTCATGGTTTCTTTTATTACTCTTTCCAATATCGGCATGGCTTTAAGGTCTTCCATTGTAGCATCTCGATCACTGTCACCAAATATTCCATGAAGCTCTTCTCTGATGTCATCCTTTATAATATGTTAGGAGTAAAATACAATAGACGATAAGAATTTTATTTTGTTTGTCGACATTTTCAAAAGAACCACGTGGCTATATTAACTTATATATATATATATATTATATAATTTAACAATATAATCAGGGATTTAAGATGTCAATATAAACATGGGAGGTTCAGGCCTTACATTTTTTAGGAGGTCTCGGAGAAGCAATTTTATAGGGGGATATACAACACTTTTTATTTGAGTAATAAACATGTTTTGGGGGATGCATTTTTCTAAGAAACTGAGCTGATTTAGAGTGAAAATACATCCATACAAAATTAAAGCTTGATAAAACAAGTCAAAAAGTATGAGGAGTCCAATACTGAACATCGGCGATATGACCGAAGAAAAGATAGACGCAATAGAGAGTGATATGAGGATAGCTGGGATGATTGAACAAGATGTAGAAGATGAGCTATGGAGGTGTAGGACTAAGGTGGCCGACCCCATGTAGTTGCGGCAGTATAAGGCGAAGATGAAGAAAAAGAAGACTTTACTTTTTAATTAAATTTACCATCCTAAAAGGTGGTGTGGCGTCGTCTTAAGGTCTCAAGTTATCTCCAGTAATCAATTCAATGTTAATACACATAGCTATTTAATATTTATTAAATAAAACATAAAATAAAAATAAAATGGATTTGTAATTTCTTACGATTGTTATGTTTTGTTTTAGAAAAAAAAAGTAAATATTAATAAACTAAGCACCTGTATATTTTGATTCATGCCAATGTGAATCAATGCCATTGTCATGGCTATTGAAGATGTATCGTGTCCTTCAAATAGAAAAGTGTCTACTTCTTCTCTGATATCTAAATCTGTCATCATGCTTGGGTTTTCTTTAGATATGCCAATTAAGAGGTCTAAAAATGAGTAAATTCTTTTTCTTTCTGTAAATAATATCAGTATTTCAAATTTAGTATATCAAAAATAAGTAGTTGTTATAAAAAAATCATTTCAAACCATTGGTCCAGGCATTTTGATTTTCTGCAAAATTTAGTTTTTGTTTTTTTTCCTGAATAACCTAAAATAATATATTTATGAAAACAAGAACATTTATATTTTGACTGTCCATCATATATATTACGTTTTCAGTAAATGTATGTAGTACTTTTAACGATTTATAAAAGTCTCTGCCGCTAGTACTGACGTTGAAAATCGTTTCGCTCCATAGCCAAAATGTGAATATTCTTTTGATAACTATATTACTCACACTAGTAAAACAAAACATACAATCATTGCTACTTTTACACTAGTTAAGCTTTAAGTACAGTTATAATTATAATATACTTAATATTTATTATTTGCTTGATTACACTTACGTTTTTATTGCATTAACGTAATCAATCGATTGTCCTTCTTGAGATCTTAAGTTCACGCCCATGATTGTTTCTATAATACCAATTAAGACATTTTAGCTTCGTTGCGGAGCTGAGAAGGTATGTTTTTTACAATGGCGTGTTTTTATTTCATTTTTTATTTGTCTAGACCCATGATATCTTTTAAACCCCTGAACTGATTTTTTCGTGTAAAAAGGTTCTTACTGGGCCAAACATTTAAAAAGTTTACACCTTCCCCTTCAAAAGTGAGAAAAACACTCAAACATTTTTACATATTTTTCAACTTGCTCTATAATTTTTTTTTTAAACTATTCGAATTAGTTCTTAATTTGTTCGCAATATTCTTTAGATGTAATACTACCGATCAACGTTTAAAAACTATACATTAGACCGAAGGTAGATCTAGAGCGAGGTTAAAACATATACAGTTTTATCAAAAGACTGTCAATTTTTTTTTATCAAGGAATTACCAACAAATACGGAGAAATTATACTTTGACCATAGTCAATTTCTAAGTTGCTATGTGTGAGGAAACCAACGGTCGACGGTTATTTGAAAATGTTTTTATTACATTTAAAATTACGATGTATGGGTAATAACGGCAATAAATTATTATAGACAGACGACCAATCGTAATCGTATCCACCTCAATACTAAAATTACATTTTTAAGCACATTATTGTTAATAGCTACAATGCTTTTATCGATATTTGTAATTCTACCATTAAAGATTCGCATCAAAGCGTTTATTCGAAAATAATTTTATCACTTTTGCATACTGTAATGATTTATATAGACGTCCCCCGTCCCAATATGCTGCGTCCCTCCTATGCCCAAAACCCCACTGTATTGGCTTTTTTTTATAGTTAAAATATATTTAACGAAATCAACAATATATTTCTTAAAAATATTAGCTTCATTTTTTGGAGATAAACGATTTGAAAACTTAATAGGTTTTAAATAATGAGCTTTTTAGGTGTATTATGCTTGGTTATATGCAGTGCATAAATTGTAAGGGATATCCTTAATTTTTCGTTAATCAAAGCGGCCCACTTATTACTACATATTGTTGTTGTCTGGAGACGCTGAAATTTAAACTAATCCCAGCGTCCCTTCTAATTTCTTTTCCCAATTCAAGCACTGTTCACTAGGTAATAGGTTACTTTATTTATAATTATATCTATCAAAAATATAAATAAAAACATGTTTATTGTAGTAGCTTACCGCATACAATATCCAAAGCGCATAGAGTCACGTGCGAATCTATGTCCGTAATAACTTCATCGTTTTTCGATGCCTTGGCAAGGTTTTGCACTAGAGCGTATGCATGCTTGTTCAAAGCTGGTATATATGTTTCTAATATTTTGAAGTGGAACGTATTTGTCAGTAACTTTCTACGCGTATGCCATTTTTCATCTAAAACATTATAGTATTTAGTAAACTAGGATGACCGTTTGTTTTTCGAAATAGGCCAATAACTAATAAGTCGTACCAGTGCTGGTCAGGAGCCCTTTGTTTAACCAAGGCTCGAGCATTTTGTAATCCGGTCCTTTGGTAATATGTTGAGTGCTGCATAATAATATCTATAAAACAATGAACTATATTATATTCCTAATCTTACAATTCGAAACATAGTAATTAACGCATACCTTTATGTCATCGGGGTCGTTTATAATGATATAGTCACGCAACATAACTTTGAAATGCACTAACGGTCCAACTCTTTTAAGGACGCTGGAGAAATAGGGTAAAATAACTGAAATTTTTGGACGGTTAAGTAATTACATTTTAGGCAACAGAGTAATAATCATTTTTTTTTATTATTAATTGATTCATAATAGGTACGTGAATGAAGGCACCTATACGTGACGATCATTTCATCGAACCTCATTCTATTAATGATATAGTAACGCATTAAATATTACTTTTTACGATTTTTACATTAGCCTGTGACCCCTGAATCGTCAATTAAATTTAATAATTTGTTACGGTTATAGAATATTAAATCAAGCAGTAGTCAAATCTGTTGAGTTATAATATTGTATTATGTACTATAATGTATTATGAAATAAGTACTATAAAGGTACTATTAACGTTTTCGAAAAAAATATAAAATATCACCATTTTAGTTAATGATCTCCAACAGTTAGAATTTATAGCTATTTATCGACTCGCATCGAAATATTTAAGTCAGCGATAATAAGGATGAGAAGATTATAATTTTTTGATCTATAACTTTTGTTAATAAACCGTTTCTGTATTTTTTATACAATTTTTGATAGAAATATTTAAAAAAACTACAGAACTTCATCGTTAAGTTGATATTATATATTAAATTGCAATTTTCATAAAAGCCATTATTTTTTTTACTCAACACTTAATTGAAGAATGGACATAAATACATTATTAACTTCAAGTAAAGTTAAAAAGTTAAGTAAATCTAACTTTTTTACACAATAAGTTATTTTTGAGCCTTAGTCATAAAATTATCTTCTTAATTTTACTTTTGAATAATAACTACTTAGTTCATTTTTCTAATTAAAACAATATTTCTTTTATTACTCTAAAACCCCAAGTAACTTTTTTAAGGTATGTATAATAGATAAAATTAATTTTCCTTCAAAATGTACTTAAATTAATTCGTTAAGTTAATATAATTAGCTTTTAAGGTACCCGACCTTTTTCCCGAAAGTCCGTAAACCCGAAACATTTTTACCCGAATGACCAAAATACTTGGTGACCTGCCGTACGATAATAGATCAGCAATATATGGTGTGATGTACAATTTTGTTGATATCGCGCTTTTTTTTAAAAAAAATGTTTTCCGTTTCGGGAACAATAACCGTCTGGAGAAAGGCATTCGGGAAAAAAGGTTTCGGGTTTACGGACTTTCGGTAAAAATACCATGCGGGAATTTCGATTCGGGAAAAATACCGTGAACCAGCTTTTAAGTTAACATAAATCAGTAAGTTGCTCAGCTTTAAACAATTATTAATACTTAGATCGTATTTAAAAAAAACGCATCGATGCAAATTTGTAAATTACCAACTTCTTCCTTGCTGCTACTTATTGTTTAATGGTAGGCTTTATTCCCCAAAATTCAACATTTTATTGACTTAACCAAACTGGACACTGTCAGTAAGCGGCTTCAAGATAACTATGTTACTGAAGATATTTACTCTAACTTTTACATATTAACTATTTTTTTTGTTGAGTAAAATAAAAAATATATTATACTTAATGAATAATAAATTCAACAATGACAAAATTCAAACTAAATATTCGAATTGTTTGTTAATTTGTTAGATAGTTGGATCAGACCTATCTACCTACCTCTTACCATTCAAATATAATGAATAATTAGAGTAAGTTTTGTAAATATTACCGACGCTTTAAATAAACATAATTTACTTTTTACTCCAGTTATAATTTTTAACCGTTGTTAAACAAATATAGCGTAGAAACGAATTGATAAGAACTCTAGTAGAAAATCGTATAATGTCTATGCTACATTAGTCAATTTAAGTTAGATTTACTTGTGGATTACTATTTAATTATTTAGAAACCCGGTCCACAATAAAACACTTATACGCATGTCCGTGTATTAACAGTTGAAAAATTATTAATATTTTACAAAAAATATTACCTTGGGGGCGCAAACTAGCGACGTGCAATGAGTTCTTGAGAATTCCCCAATAGGTTTTTGTTAGGGTTGGTAGTAGAGATATTTGTTTTTGTCGTTCAGACGCACGTTTGTCCCGATACAGTATGTAGAATCCAAAGGTTAGCAGCATGACAAGCGTTACCCATAAGGAGAAATTCGAACCTGAAGCCAAAGCCCCAAGGACTATGCTCAGCGCGTTCATTGCGAGATGACTATGTATTAGAGAACTGTTAACATTGATACGTGATCGCACACTGTTGCATTCACAATGTAATTTTTTGAAAAATAGAAGCCGGCGTCATACTATATACGTCAAGATTTGCGCTAGATATAAGTGTTGTTAAAATCTCGCCTTGGTGCAAGCTTTTATTTCCCATTACGCTAGAAAAATGTTAATACGTCATTGCAAAATCACATGGGTGGGAGCAAAAATAGCGCATGTATAAATATTATCTTATAATAAATTAGATATTTTATTATCTTATCGACTGCAGATGTAAATATACGAATATTATAACGCTATAGTTGGTTATTGATTGTTTCTGTTATTTTAAAATGTTTTCGTACCTGAATTTTAAAATAATTAATACGTAAACACAATTAGGCATTACAATATTAGGTGCTACAATGTCGCATATTGAAATATTTCGTTTAAAATACTAATGTTTACAAAATAGAATTTTAATATATTTTTTTTCTGTTAATCTCTAGTTTATTTGTCACGTTTTTAATAAAAAACAAGTCATCTTAATTTTATTATGCAATTTGTTTTATAATAAAATGAAATAATTTATGATTAGAATTATGAATTTTCCTTGTAGACAATGATTTTGCCTTTATTTTCTAATTTTTAAAGTAAAAGTTTATATTTAATACAGTATAAATTGATTTTAACAACATAGGATAATATGACAAAGCAGCCACGGTTTTTATTAATATATTCATTATTGCCGATTCACAACAAAATACGGTTATAAAGTAATGCAATTTTATTATCTGTTTTGAACATAATACTCAATTAGGCAACAACATGTTTTTATGTGCATATCGTTAAATGTTGAATGTTTTATTTTTATTACAAGTTTCTTTGGAGTCCTTTGTTGACTGTTCTACACAGTGTGTAATCGATGGTTAATTATCTTATTTCTACTTCTTTTTTGCACTACTGTCTAATGCCTACGGTGTTTACTTGATATAAATTGTACTACGAATTTATGAAAATGGGAAGACGGCAATTAACGTTACTGGCAGTATCGTAGATATAGTTATGGAGAGTAAAAATAAGTATTTTACTCTTTCGGGCTAACTTATTAAAAGTATATAAATTAAATACATTGTAATAGAATGCAATAGCTTAAATTCATAACGATAAGTATTTTATTATTTGACACATAATATACATTTTCAATAAAACGTTAATTTTGGTGCACAAAAAAATAACAAAAAAAAGTATACATTTTTAACATTAGGGAAAAAAATTCTTTTCACTAGAAACATACATAACGTTTAACAAAATAACGTATTTTAAATTAAAAAAAATTTTTTTTTAGTTACTTTAAGCTTAATTGAAAATTACCTTTTCATTACGTATTTTTGTTAATGGCGTAATCAATTTTTAACTTCTAATTTTGAAACTCAAACAGTTGTACTCAACGCTAAAAATACTACAATTTAGATGTGCTTATAATGATTTTTGACCAAACATTTTATAATTTAAGTCATTTTTAGTTTTTTTGACAATTTTTTGTAAAATTACTTAAAACGCGTTGAGCGACCAGTAAACAATTTTTTTTTAATCTCAAATTTTCACCAAGTCTTTTTTTTTATGTATAGAACAAATTTAAATGTTAGCCATTAACATTTCGAAGATCAATTTTTTTTGCGCCACTCTACTGTATAGGTATTATTATGACTAAATAAACAGGCATGATTACTTGATAATACTGCGCAGGAAAATTGTCTAGGATTTGAAAAAAAGTATTTTAATGTGCTGACTTCTCATTATAAGTTATACCATCTTTCATAAATGGGACAAATGCGAAAAGATAGGAAAATTTCGTAATCTAGCAATCATGCCTGTTTATTTGTTTATTCTGTAATCATGGGTATTATACATTATAATCCGAAGTTCTTATCAAAGAGTTTGATTGTGATGAAATCGTTATCATATTTAATAACTGTTTTAATCCTACTTTGCTAACTTTCTATTGTGTAGGTTTAGACTGTATTGGTTTTAATTTACCGTATTAACACCTAATTGAGTAACAAGTATGAATACGTTTATATTGCAATGTGAGCATAAGGTTTTTAAACCAATGATCATTTTTTGTACATTATGGATGAGGCATATTATGTTGTAAAATGCACAACAAAAAATGCAAGCCGGAAAATATGAATTTGCTGAGTTAGGGTTAACATGAATATTTGCTAAACAATGTTGCTTACTATTATTTGATATGACCACGTGTAGTACTATTTAAAATATTTAAATTTGGTTAAATACTCATTATATCATGCTATTATAAAATTATAGTTTTTGTCTAATTTGTAATCAAATTTTTTTAATAGATCAAAAATAATTTATTTATTAATACATAACTGAGCTATAATTTTGTTGTGAAAATTATATTATTAAAAAATAATGACCTCATTTCCGAGTATAATAAATATTAATATTAATTAATGTAAAAATGAATAGGTATTAAACACTTATTCTCAAATCTATAAGAAAAAAAAAATACATCGATACAAAAGAATTGAAGTATTTTACACATTTATTATTACTTAAATGTCAACAGCCAAGCAAGAGTAGTATATTAAGCTAAACAATTATTATTATTATAAAGTGGTGTTATTTTCATACTCGGTATAGAATCGGCTCTCATGATCAGCTGAGTACTAATAACAATATCTTTTTGTGTACCAAGTGTTTCTAATTTCATGTATCTAAGAATTGTAGATATTACCGTTTTCATTTGATACATTGCAAATTTCTGACCTAGAATTAAATGAAAATTTTATGTAAAAACAATACGTTATTTTAAATGTCATTTCATTTTAAGTAATTAATGACATTTTAGTACGCTCACAATATTATTGGCTCATGGCTATTTTTTTTCCGTTAATAAAGAATGCCCTTACCTATACAGTTTCTGGGTCCTGCGCTAAATGGTATGTAGCTATATGGGTGACGGCCAATGCATTGTTCTGGCAAAAATCTGTCGGGATTGAATACTTCTGGGTCTGGATAAATTGATTCGTTACGGTGTAATATATGAGGTGAGAATCCAATAATAAAGCCAGGAGGAATTATATAGTTTTCTAGAAATAGGATAATTAATGTATAAGATAATAGACATTGGTAGTAATTGATCACTGGCAAACTAATTGATTTTGAAACTTACTGAGTTGAAGGGGTTGATTCAGTTCTCTTGACATACCAGTTACACTAGGATAAAGTCTCATTGTTTCTTTTAATACTCTTCCTAAATACGACATTGCATTAAGATCGTCTAAAGTAGCGTCTCGGTCGCTGTCGCCGAATATTTCATTTAGCTCATCTCGAATATTATGCTAATACAGAATCAGTTAATATCCATAAATTTCTAATTAACGAATATTGCAGGTATGTGTATTGCAAATAATTGCAAATAAAAATAAAAAATCGAAAATTATATGTTATTATTTCTTAAAAAAAATTAAAATTAAATTTTAATAACTTTAATATTCAAGGTTAATATAGTATTTAAAATATAAACGATTAGTTACTAATTAATTATCACTGTTTATAATAAGTTCAAAATCTCTAAAACAATGAATAACTGGTGAAATTATTATTTCTATTATTTCAGTACTGACTTGTATATTTTGGTTCATGCCGATATGAAGCAATGCCATCGTCATTGCAATGGATGATGTATCATGTCCCTCAAATAGAAAAGTGTCTACTTCTTCTCTGATATCTAAATCTGTCATCATGCTTGGGTTTTCTTTAGATATGCCAATTAAGAGGTCTAAAAATGAGTAAATTCTTTTTCTATCTGAAATGTTTTGTTGCTGTTAGTATAATGATTTTATACAATTCAATAATATTGTACTAGATGTTGATCAAACCGTTTTTTTCTGATGTTGGGTTTTTTTCTGATTTTAGATTTTGTCTTCTTTCTCTTATCACCTAAATCATTTTAAAACAAATAATTAAAATATGATCGATTGGTTTAAGTACAAATAATTACGTTCTCAGTGAAGTCGTGTAGTATTTTTAATGATTTGTAAAATGCTCTACCATTTATACTGATGTTGAAAATAGTTTCATTCCACAACCAAAATGTAATTATACGGTTTATCAGTATATTACTGACGCTAATTTATTAGGAACAAACGGAAAATCATTTAGTATTTTAAAATATTTGATTTTGTTAATATTTGTTGTACTCACGTTTTTATTGCGTTGACGTAGTCGGATGATTTACCCTCCTGTGATTTTATGTTTACTCCCATTATAGTTTCTATAAAAAAATTATAAAAATTATAAGATAATTAATATGTAAATAAGTGCATAATATTTTATTTGAGTATGAAAAAATAATACTTTAAGAGAAATAATTATGTATTTTCTAACCACAGACAATATCTAATGCGCATAATGTCACGTGTGATCCAACATCTCTTATAAGTTCATCATTTTCTGACGCTTTAGTAAGGTTTTTCACTAAAGCCCGCGAGTGTTTGTTTAAAGCTGGTATGTATGTTTCTAATATTTTGAAATGAAATGTATTGGTCAATAGTTTTCTTCGTGAATGCCACTTTTCACCTTGTAATAATATAAAAATAGTCTTAACATGACCAGTATAACGAGATTCAGCTAAGGGGTAATATACCTGTGCTAGTCAACAGCCCTTTATTTAACCACGGTTCAAGCATCCTGTAGTCTGGTCCTTTAGTAATATGTTTTGGGTTGGACAATAACGCCTAATATACAAAAATAAATATTTTTTAAAATGTTATCCGTCACATTCAATTTTGAATGCTTTGAAGTTTATATTATAATTTATATCTCTTTATTGTAAAAGTATAATCAAATAAGATGAAACCATACTATATCTATGTACCATAATATAATCCGGGTCGTTAATAATAACATAGTCCCTCAACATGAGTTTAATGTGCACCAACGGGCCATTATTTTTGAACAGATCCGAGAAAAAATCCACCATGTCTAAATAAAATATACATATAAAATTATTAACACACAAATATTATCTTAATTTCGAAAACCTAATGAATTTTTTGTTTAATTACAAACGTTAGACACTTATTAAAGAAGAATCATTATTATTATTATTTTTTATCGTTAGCATATATTCGTATACCTTTCTTTGACTGGGTCGTTTAAACGACGATTAAACAATTTTAAAGTAAACTATAGGGGAAAAGTAGACAAATCTAAAATGTTCTGCCTAAACTAGTTTGTCTATTTTATAAGTAATAACTATATATTTGCATTAGATAAATCAAATTGATATGATAAATGCCTAAAGTAACTAATAATAGTTGAAGTAAAATTAGTTAACTCTAGCAAGTTTTTGTTAAATTAACTGCTCAAACAATTACTTTTTATAAAGATAATATATATAAACTAAAATTATGTAATTATATATATATATATATAAGCTTATACGCCATATAAGGGCGTGCAAACTGTTAAATGTTATAAAATAAATATTATTGCATTATTTAAAGAGCTAAATAACTAGTGCTCCCCCGAAATACATTTCTGGATACAATACTCTTAAAAAATAAAGTACTGTAAAACACATAATATAATTTTACCGCATTAATAACGTGTACATGTTACCTCGTGGATGTACTCGAGACAATTTTAACGATATTACTAGATTGTCCCAGTGAGTTTTTGTTACAGTAGGTAATTTTGATATCTGAATTCGGCGTTCGGTCGCATGCGCTTCTTCTTTCAGACAATAAAAAATAAATAATATTAATAAAATCAACGTAGGCCATAAAAACGTATTGCTGTCAGCAACTATGTGCTTAAATACTGCTAACACTGTCATTGTGATGTTCGAGTGAACTGTAAACGTCGATACGCGTGTAAACACAATTATTTGAATGAAAAAAAAAATTGATATAAGAGATACCCTACTTATTATGCTTCTGACAATGGGCTAGCGACTACTGACTATAGGTTATTTGTCAACATTTGACTATATGCATTTAATAGCCACATTATATATTATAATAAATATATATTATACACATTATATATACATTGCTATCGCAACACATTAGAAGGAAGGGGCTAGATACTTACACCGCGTACCAGGAAGAAAATAGAAATTAAGAAAGGTACAATTAATAAATTATTGTTTCGATTTCAATGTTAGTTAAATTATAACACTAAATCAGAAAATTCCACTTATTAAATGAATCTCATTTTAGTTTCGCTGCGGAGCTAAAAAGGTATTATATTTACAATGATGGGTTTTTATTTTTTATTTATTTAATTTGTATTTTTGTGACAAGACCCATGATATCTTTTAAACCTTTTTAACCTTTTTTTTCATGTAGCGACTCTATAGATCTGAAATCGTACCTAAAGGATACTTTATTGAGTAAAAAATTAAAAAAAAATTCACCCATTCCTTATCAAAATCGATCAAAACCCCCAGCAAAATTTACATATTTTTCAACTTTAAATAATATAATGCTCTATAACTTTTATAAAATAGTCGAATTAGTTCGAAATTTGTATGGAATATTCTTTAAATACAGTACTACCGATAAACATTGACAAACTAAAAAATATAAACCCTTTCGGCTTTCACATGAAATGAGTAGATATTTATTCTTTATTTCACTTTCTCCGGCAAAGTTAGATCTATAATGGAACTATAACATCTAAAATTTTCTCAAAAATCGTAGTCAAACTTCTTTTTCTGATTGAGGAAAACTCTCCAAAAAAAGAGGAAAATTACACTTTAACCGTAGTCAATTTTCCAGGTCGTGTGTGAGTGAATCAACAGGTAATTAAAATATTATCATTTATTGTTAATTACGGTATATGGGTAACTATGGCAGTACATTTTTTTAGATAAACGATCAACTCTAACCGTGTCCATGCAATAGATTATTAATATGATAATTTTACTAACGCACGTCCATAATATCTTTATTTATATGTTTTCTTGATTTATCTTGTGGCAAAGGTGTTCTGTTGCATTCTACTGTTTGACAATTCCACAATAAACTATATTATGTGTAGCATTCGCATTACATAGTGACACTATTTTGTTTAAAGAAGTCAATAATAACTGAAAATCAGCACTTATTACTTATTCCAATAAGTGGTTTTGTAAATATTTGTAGCTAATTGTTTTAAAATGACTATAACAATATCCTTATAACATCATTACCCGTTCGTATGTATTTTGTTTAACTAACACAACGTTTGATGTTTATTTTACATCTTCTATTTGTCGAAGTAAATAGATTTTAATAATGTAAGCTTTTAAGAATTAAAAAAATATTTAAAACGTTAAAGTTTAAGTCTAACTGCAGAATTCATTATCAGAGGAGAATTAAATATCGTCTAGGCTAATTTAGATGAGGTAACTTAACATCATAATGGAAAATATTGGTATGATGTTAACAGTGCAACTAACCGTCGTCGATTAACTTGAAAAGCATTTTTTTTATAAAAAAATAATACTACTTTTTTTATAAAAAAAAGAGATTCTAATAACTGAATTGTACGATTACTATTAGTTTTTAGGAGTAATGAGTTAGTTAAATATTTTGTAAATGTATTGTAGCTGAATGTTGATATTAGTTGGTAAAATGTGTTTTTGTTTGAAACTTTGAAACTAAGCGGTATAGTGAAATGTGGCTGTAACGAGCAGCAATTGCCTGAGCGAAATTATTACTGAGTGTTGGGTTTTGAGTACAGAACGGCCAGAAAACTACACGTCGATAGTATAATAGAAAACGATGATCACATAGTGATTAAATAATATTAACGTGTTAATAGAATATTATAGCTGTAGTTTATTATAGTTCTGACTTTAGAAAATTATCGGTTCTACATTTGCAACCAACCATTTATACTCCATTGCCCTCTCGTTTGACACCACTATTATAGCTTCTATGAAGTGGCCAGGTCTACAGGTGCCGGTATTGTGCCTTCTATTACGCTATAATTGCTATTTCTTATTTTCCTTTATCTATAGAATACTTTATACTAATATATTAACATGCTATTTAATAATAACATTAATACCGAAATTTCGGGACGACGGTAAGACAAGTAATTGGTAACAGTATAGCATGGGATTCATTAAAATGTAATAGATCAAAAGGGAGAAACACTAGTATGTTAATGTAAAAATCACTGCACTTTAAAAAATCTTTTAAGTTTTTTATGAGTGACATACTAAATATTATTATATTATTCAGAGCATAATAAAATTAAATTCGAAATTATGGTTACAACTGTATACTAAAGTATTGGGTTATCTAAATTTCTTGTTACTGTAATTTTGTCCATAAAATAATTGTTAGCTAATAAAAGTTTAAATAAAAACGTTGTTTTATTAATGAAAAGAGTACACTTTATTAAGTTATTTAATATTTTTTCAAGGGGTAAATTTAAAGTGTAACTTTTAAAAAGTCAAATTTTATTAATATTTGATTTACCTGCTTTTATTAAAATTGTACATAGAAAGTAATGATTGGTCGGTGACCAGTTTTTAATGGATACTCTTTGAGTTTTGCTACTTAAAGTTTAGTCAAGGAAGGTAGTGAGGGTGAGTAACACAAGAACAACCCTATAACAGAATTACAAAATATTGAACATTAAAACCATTAACCATGCATTTTCCCCGTAGTCAATTTTTGTTGAAAAATATACTTAAAAAAAAGTTATACTACGTTCAAATTAATATCCAAATACTCTTAAACAACTTAACATAACTAAAATCTGTCATAAAACCACTTTCGTCGAACTTTTCTTATATTTTGTCCTTCAAAAATGATCGTACTCGTGTGGCATATGAACAGAAATGAGCTAATATTTTATGAGGTGACACTTGGCAAGATGGAATGTACAGTGGTGCAATTGACAACGGTATGAATACGAGTATAAGTGTATTTTATAATATTCCTTACTTTTTGAATTTACCAAATGGTATTACACTTTTTAAAAATGAATAGAAATAATATTATTGATAATTAAAAGTAATTATTAAAATAAAAAAAATTGAATTTGAATTCTAAAAGAAATTTGAAATTATGTCTTCCCGCCAAATTTTAATTATACCTTATTTTAAAGCATAAAAACCACATTCAAAAGACTGTAAACCATTTTTATTTATGCATTATTGTATGAGGAAATTTGACACAAAATATAAGTATACATTATACCTATGTACTATATGCATATAAATAATTGTATATTTTCTATTAATACCTTAGATCTCTATAATTATATGTTATTCATACATAGGAAAAAAGCAATAAATAATAATTCATACAAAGTTTATAAGACAATGCCATGTTCTATACAAAATAAGACGTTAAATGTTAGACGTATTATAAAGTGCTAACGATATAATGTATAATAATTCTCGGTCAAGGTTAGTCGGTAGCATTGTTTTTTTAAGTTCATGTTTTTTTTTATTGACCTTTAAATTGAGATTAACCGCAACAACATGTTTACGCATTTGAAATTTCATTTTATTCGAAGGGATACTGTCATTAGTGTTTTATAATGATTTAGATTTCCCAATTTTATAATTATGTATCAAATACGTGTTGATAATTATACATGATAAAAATGGATTTTCACTAATTAAACTGGTCTATAACTCTAAGTTAACTTAATATACCTTTGTATAAATAGTTGTTAAAACTTTGACCTGATTAAATTATTTTATGCCTAGAGTGAAAATGAACGTATAAACTTTATGACTACCGCTATTTAAACATGAGTGTAAGTTTGTAATGTAAAATTGAATATATAAAAGGATATCAAAAATTGATCACATTACTCATAAACTATTAACTTATATATGATAAATTATTTTTGATTTCTTGAATTAAGATCATTTTACTGCAACAAACAACATTGGTGAATGTTTGGTAAATAATCATTTTTGGTAATATTTATTGTTTACCATTGTGTAACGCTCGTAGTACGTCTCAAGTAATGTTAGTTGAAATAATATGTTTGTTTAAATGAACTTGAAATTAGAAAATAATAATTGGCTTATCAATGAAAGGTCATAGTTCTTAGATATAAAATATTAATAAATACAAAATATATCGGTGAACTTTTGAACACGTATTTTCGCGTGCCGAATTCAACTCGTCGCCTCTTTTTCGCCATTAAGTCAGATTTTAGAGATTTCGTATGAAGTTTTGCGTAAAATATTTTTATAAAAATGTCGTAAAAGCATTTCTAGTATTTGATCAAGTTGTTTCTCAACATTTCTTACGCTAAAATCACAGGGAATATTTATCGGACTTGACATTAGAACATTGATGAACCATAATAACTTTATTTTTAAATGGTAATCGGTTATAAAAACAGTATGGACATCATGAGCGTTATTCAGAACTTCTTCAGAAAAGAAGTTCTATGGGCAAATTATCTCGGGTCTTATGATAAACTACCGTAAAATCGGTTATTGAATGTCTTTGGAAATCTAATTTTTACATTTCCATCGGAATTTCTTTCCTGGTAACTTGGGCGATAAGAACGACAAGTAAGGAGAGTGGTTACAATACAATTTTTTAGAGGATTGAGAGAAACAACAAAGAACCTTGAGATGAGGAGTGCTTAAAGATTATTGTTAGTCCGCAATACGTGAAACAGGCTCAAAACAATGCCAAACGGCTCAGTACCACTGCACTCCATTTCTGATTATTTTCAAATAAAAAGCAATGTATAGATGAAAATGGCTAAAAATGACTAACATTTATCTCAAAAACCTACCAGTGAAGTACGGATTCGCCATCAGCACTGAAAATTACCTTTTGGTTGCCGAGATCCAAAACCATGTAATATCTACGGAATTAATATTTTGTGCTTAATTTAAGACATTTTATACTTTTACTAGATAGTGTGCAAGTACAAATAAAAATAAACAAATGTACAGATCCCTC